CAGGGATCTGGGCCACAGGCAGGGCGAGAGGCTGTGACGATGTGACGAAGCAGGAAGGGGGGAATGTTGACCTGGGAATGGGCCCTGGGGATGGGAAACCTGAGAGCCTGTTACCTGATCCGGGAGGGGGAGGTAACACCTCTGCCCAGGAATGTGAAGACAGGCTGCAGGAGGGAGCCTGCTGGGAGGGGGTTTAGTTTCAGTATGGAGCTGGGTGGAGGAACGCAGGGAACCCCAGGGCTGGGGTCTAAGCTCCCTGCTCCCTCAGAAGGACTTGACTGAGGGGTCCTGGTTGTACCCACAAGCTCTCTTTTAGACTGTGTTCCTGTGGTCCAATAAACCTTCTGTTTTACTGGCTGGCTGAGAGTCTCAGTGGATCCCAGGAAGAGGGGTGCAGGGCCTGGACTCCCCACACTCCGTGACAACTGGTGGTAGCGGTGGGATGTACTGCACCCCGTGAACAGTGCTTCCTGCAGTAAGTGACTGGGGAGCAGTAAAACGAAGGGGGATTGACGGGGACCAGGGGTGCTGAAGATTCAGAGAGAGACATTTCAGGGGGCGGTTAACCCCTGGGAGTGTGTGACCAGAGAGAAGGACTTTTGCAGTAACAGGGTGCCCCGGGGGATTGCAGCGAGTGGTCCCAGGGGCAGAGGAGTCTGCAGCTCGACCCTGGCAAAGAGGTGGTGACCTCAAGAAGGGCTGGCACACTAGGGGTTTTTCCTGGAAACCGTGGGAAGCTGCCCGGCCTGCGAGTGGCCAGCAGGGAGATGTACGCTAAACGCCGGAAGAGCGACCTGGTGGAGCTGTGCAGGCAGAGGGGGCTGCGCATCGGGAGGTCCACCAAGGAACAGCTGATTGCCCAGTTGGAGGAGAGGGATCGCTTGGATGACCTGCTCGAGGGGACCAACGTGACCTGAGCTGCTATCACTGTGGCCAGAGAGGCCACGTACGGACCCAGTGCCCCGGGCTCAGGGACAAACTGAGCAGACCCAACCTACCCAGGGTTAACTGGGTAGGGACCCAGCTGGGTGAGGGGCAGACGACCCAGGCAAGGGGGGCTGCCAGCTTACCACCTGCTCAGGAGGGAAGAGTACCCCAGGCAGAGGCTGGAGGCTCTGGACTCAGGGTGCTCGGTTTACAGGGTGGGCGCGGGGCTGTCCCTCCGGAGAGAGTGCCTTGTTCCCCTGGAGGTGGATGGGAGGAAGGTCAATGGATACTGGGATACGGGCGCGGAGGTGACGCTGGCCCGGCCCGAGGTGGTGGCCCCAGATCGGGTGGTGCCCAACACCTACCTGACCCTGACAGGGGTGGGCGGGACCCCATTTAAGGTGCCCGTGGCAAGGGTACACCTGAAATGGGGGGGCCATGGAGGGCCCCAAGGATGTTGGGGTACATCACCGTTTGCCCACTGAGGTTTTGATGGGGGGAGACCTAGAGGACTGGCCAAGCAAGCCCCAGACCACCCTGGTTGTGACCCGTAGCCAGAGCCGGCGAGGGGTACTGCTCCCTGACCTCGGGGAGGGTACCGCACCGGAGGCGCAGGACCCTACCCTGGTGGGAAGGGAGGGCCGAGGGGCACGGCTCAGAGAGGCGGAGGCCTCAGACCTGGCCACTGAGGGGGAACCGGGCCCCATCCCTTCCCCAGCCGCTGAGTTCCAGGCCGAGTTGAGGAAAGATCCCTCCTTGCGGAAGCTCAGGGACCTGGCCGACCTCAGTGTGGTACGGACCATGAGGAGAGGCTGCCAGGAGAGGTTCCTGTGGGAGAAGGGGTTCCTGTACCGAGAATGGGCTCCCCCAGGGGAAGTGGAGTCCTGTGGGATCAGGAGGCAGCTGGTGGTCCCCCAGAAGTATCGCCGCAAGCTATTGTACCTGGCCCATGACATCCCCCTCGCAGGGCACCAGGGAATCCGGCGCACCCGGCAGAGGCTGCTACAGAACTTTTACTGGCCCGGGGTCTTTACCACGGTCCGGCAGTATTGCCGATCCTGTGACCCCTGTCAGAGGGTGGGGAAGGCCCGGGACAAGGGGAAAGCGGCTTTGAGACCTTTGCCCATCATAGAGGAGCCTTTCCAGAAGGTGGCCATGGACATCGTGGGGCCTCTCAGCAAGACGACCCGGTCGGGGAAGAAATACATTCTGGTGGTGGTAGATTTTGCCACCCGCTACCCCGAGGCAGTGCCCTTAGCTTCCATTGAAGCAGACACCGTGGCAGATGCGCGCCTGACCATTTTCAGCCGAGTGGGGTTCCCCAAGGAAGTCTTGACAGACCAAGGCTCCAACTTCATGTCGGCCCTGCTCCGGTGCTTGTGGGAGAAATGTGGGGTCCGGCACGACTGGGCCTCAGCTTATCACCCCCAGTCCAATGGGCTGGTGGAGAGGTTTAACGGGACGCTAAAGATGATGCTGAAAACCTTTATGAACCAGCACCCGCAGGATTGGGACAAGTACTTACCTCACCTGCTGTTCGCGTACAGGGAGGTGCCCCAGGAGTCTACCGGATTTTCGCCTTTCGAACTGTTATATGGAAGGAGGGTGAGGGGCCCCCTGGACCTGATGAGAGACGAGTGGGAGGGGAAGGCCACTCCCGATGGAGAGTCAGTGGTGGAGTATGTCCTGATCTTCCGAGAGAGACTGGCTGAACTCATGGGCCTGGCCAGGGAGAATCTGGCCAGAGGAGGCAGAAGGTCTGGTATGACCGCACGGCTCGGGCCCGTGCCTACGCCACCGGGGATCCGGTGATGGTTCTCATCCCCGTGAGAAAGAACAAACTACAGGCCGCCTGGGAGGGCCCTTTCAAGGTCGTCAAGCAGCTCACTGAGGTAAACTATGTGGTGGAGCTGTCGAACCAGGCGCACCACTGCCGGGTGTACCATGTGAATATGATGAAGCCATATTATGCCAGGGGGAATGTGGTGTTGGCCGTGTGTGGACAGTGGGAGGAGCAGGGAGATGACCCTTTAGAAGATCTATTCCCTGGGACCAGAGCTGGTTCCCCCCCTGGAAACAATTCCCCTCTCGGATCAGCTAACCCCTGCCCAGCAAGCTGAGATCAGGGGGGTGCTGCATCCATACCGACAGCTGTTTTCTAACCAGCCTGGACGCACTAATCTGACTGTCCACCGGGTGCAGACAGGGTCGCACCCGCCGATAAGATGCTCCCCCTTCCGAGTCACAGGGAAAACTGCTCGGGGCTTGGAAAGAGAGGTCCGGGACATGCTGGCTTTGGGGGTGATCCAGTCATCTGCCAGCCCTTGGGCCTCGCCGGTGGTGCTGGTCCCCAAAAAGGACGGGTCAGACCGGTTCTGTGTGAACTATCGGAAGCTCAATGCCATCACTGTATCTGATGCCTACCCCATGCCCAGGCCGGACGAACTCCTAGACAAGCTGGGAGGAGCTCGGTACCCCACCACCATGGACCTTACAAAGGGCTACTGGCAAGTGCCGCTGGATGCAGATGCCCGGCTGAAATCGGCCTTTATCACCCCTCTGGGGCTCTATGAGTTCCTGACCCTGCCTTTTGGGTGACTTTTGGGTTGCTGGACTTAAGAGCCTGAGAGGAAGAGGACACTGCCCAACTCACTTGGGGGTGGGTTTTTGCTCATGGTTGGTGTTATGAATCCCGTTGGTGGTGTTTCCCCAACATAATGCTGCATTGTTTCCCTCCTTTATCAAAAGACTTTGGCTGCACTCAGACTCCGTGCTTGCGAGAGGGGAAGTTTTGCCTCTCAGAGGCGCCCAGGGGGTGGTGTGTAATTGTCCCAGGTCACTGGGTGGGGGCTCGAGCCAGTTGCATTGTATTATTGGGAATGGATCCCCTAGATATTGAACCTGGCCCTTCTTGCTGCCAACGCTGATGGGCAGAAGGGTTACACATATAACAGGTACATGAGCTACATCCGCACACACCTCAACACAAGCGGGCCATGGTAACGAATTGCCGTATAGGATAACAAGGGCTGTGTCCTGTGCCCCACGGGCTGCAGAGCCCCTGGGGCGTGGAGCCCTACAGGGCTGCTGCGGCCGATGCTCGCTGGAGCCTCCTTTGCGGGTGCCCGGCTGGAGCTGCCTCCCCCTGCCGCTCGGAGGGGCTGGGGCCTGGGCCCTGCCGCTCACCCAGCTCTGAGTGGAGCTGTGAGCGCCCAGAGTAGCCAGCCAGGCACGAGGCCCCAGGCCCAGTGCCTGCAGCAGGCCGCCTGGCCACAGAGAGGAAATCCAGCGGCTGGTGGGGCATGCGTGGGGAGAGCCCACACAAGGGGCATGGAGCCCACTCACAGGAGCTCAGACCCCCCACGCAGCCCCCTCCGACACGGCCCCCATCAGGCTCCGAACGAGAGAGAACAGACCTCTTGGGCAGGGACGGGCGCTATAGTGAACTGGCCCCTGTCTCCCCGATACCTGGCCCAGCCCCGGGGACGGGCTTGGGGGGCTGCTGGGGCTCTTCTGTCTGCGGGGTCCTCGCCCGGCTGGCTCAGGGATCAGGTTGGAATGACCCAGCACCTGGGGTTAGCCCAGACCTGCCCACGGGGCGCTCCCCAGCACTCCAGCAGCTGGTGCTGGCCATGCCCCCAGGAGCCTGTCCCGGCCTCTGGGCAGGGTGTCCCTGTTCCTGGTGGGGATGGGGATGGGGGAGTGTGGCTGGGTGAGGGCAGAGGCCCCAGCTGGGTGGGCAGGAGCACAGGGCAAAGCCTGGGTGCGTGGCCCACTGCACGGGCAGGCCTTCGGCGCCCACCCCACCAGGCTGCCAGCCACGCACTGTGGGGGAACCGGAGCTGGTAGCCTAAGCCCGGGCGGGTCCTGTCCCTGCAGCCCCACGGCTCTGGGAGCTCTCCCCTGGCTCCCACTGCCCTCCTGGGGGGCTGAGCCCCATTCCCTGGGTGGCCGGAGGGGGGAGCTGGGCCGTGGGTTTGGGTTCCCAGGCACGCTGCCCTCTTGGGGGAAGGGGATGGGGGACCTGGTGCCCAGGGTTCCCCCGCGTTAACGCAGCTTGTTCTCTCCAGCAGAGCCGTGGTGGAGCACACGGTACCTGCCCCTTGGCTTGCTGGGGACCTGCCTCTTCCTCCTGGCCACCACCATCGGCCTGGGGGTTCGCTGTGAGTAGGGGACTCGGGCTGTGGGGGGCTTGTGGGGACAAAACGCCTGGCCAGAAGAGAAAGGGAAGGAGCTGCATGTGGGGAGTGATGATGTGGGGGGCAGGGGGCCCCATGGAGGGGGGGGTCAGGGCGACACAGGGCGCGGGGAGGGGTGAACCCGAGCAAAGGAGAGTTTGGGCTGCAGCTCAGGAAACCTCCCCAGCAGCAACACGGATCCAGCTGGGGAGCCATGGGGGGCCCTGTCCGGGGCATTTGGGGGCCCTGTCCTGGGGCAGGCAGGGGCCCTGTTACCAGGGAGATGTGGGGGGGCCCTGTCCCAGAGCAGGTGGGGACCTTTTACCAGGGAGATGTGGGGGGCCCTGTCCCAGGGCAAGTGGGGGCCCTGTTACCAGGAAAATGTGGGGGGCCCTGTCCTGGGGCAGTTGGGGGGGCCCTGTCACAAGGGAGCCATGGGAGCCCCTGTCAGGGAATCCTCTCTGGGGAGGGGCCCATGGGGGGAGGGGCGGGGCCCTGTTTCTTGGGCCCTCTACCCGCTGCCCGCCTGGCACCCGCCCACCGGCACAGATGTTGCTGGGGCCAGTCAGCGCATGGCGGGGCTGACGCTTCCCCAGCTCCGCTGGCCAAGGGCTGTAGGGCACAGGCGAGTCCCTGGCAGGGCCAGGAAAGGCTGCTGGGCGGGCACTCGACTGGCCCTGGCTGGCTGGCTGCCTGCAAGGCGCTCTGCCCGGCCCCTCGCTGGCCGGCACCCGGGGCCCCTCGCTGTGGGTTCGGAGGCTGCCTGCTGGCTGCAGCCCCCACTCGCCTCCCAGCTGTTTGAACCGCCTCGGCCCAGCGTTCCTGAGTCTCCGTCACCGCTGCTGGAGGCTCTGGCATTTGTGGTGTTTAGATGTTGCTAAAACCACCGAATCAGCAAATTAAAAATACAGTAAAAGCATGTTTTTGCTGTGGATCCCCACAACACCTTGCAAGCTACACAGGATGTCCAGCAAAAGTAGCTCAGTGCAATCATTGCAAAAAGACTGGACATTTTACTCAAGTATGTCGCAGTAGCCAGTTCAATCAACAGGTGCATACAGTTACAATACCAGATGTTACTGTGCTGAGCGTGGACAAAATCACTACTGCACATATTCCAGAACAAATAAAGTGCACTGTAAACGTTTCCGCCATACCCTCAGGCAAACCACACTCTATTCAGCTAATGTCGGACACTGGCTCAGCAGTATCTATGCTACCTGATTCCATCTTTCTGCCTTACTTTAAAGACGTGCCTCTTACTGAACCCAGACTTCACTTGGTGTGCTATTTGAAAAACCATATTCCAGTACATGGCTGCCTGCCAGCAATAGTTACTTTTGGTGATTGCTGTGTAACTGCAGAGTTCTACATTGTCCACAAAGGCCCTCCTATCCTTGGCAGAGATTTATTGGCTGCTTTAAATCTCAGGGTAGTTAATGGACGAATTGATCTTCCTCAGCAAAGCGCTCCTGCGGTACACACACCAGTTTCAGCTGGGACCCAACACCAAGTTGAGGAGAAACGCGGCTGTGCTTATGGGTTTCTGCATAAAGGTAAAATGTGGAATAATGTGATGCCTGTACAACAGAAGTTACAGTGCTTACCATTTTCAGGCAGGGAAGCTGTTTCAGAGGAACTGAGAAAACTTGTTCAAAAGGACATTATTGAAGAGATCGACTCCTCGGAATGGGTTTCACCTGTCGTAGTTGCGCAGAAGAAGGGTGGAGGCATTCGCCTTTGTGTGAACTTAAGGGAGCCAAATAAAGCTATTGTGATTGACAGCCATCCTCTTCCTCACATAGAAGAAGCATTTGCAGAACTCCGTGGAGCAAAGATGTTTTCTGCTCTTGATTTGCAGAGCGCATACCACCAGGTTACGTTGCATGAAGATAGCAGAGACCTCACAGCATTTATTACACATAAGGGACTATTTCGTTTTAAACGTGTTCCATATGGTCTCGCATCTGCCCCAAGTGCCTTCCAAAAAATGATGTCATTGATTCTGAAGAATCAACATGGAGTTCAGTGCTATCTGGATGATATTATCATGTTTGGAAATACTTCTGAGGAGCATGACAATAACCTGCAGTCTGTACTAAACTGCCTCAGCAAAGCAGGCCTCAAACTCAATAGGTCCAAATGCAAATTTAGACAAACTGAACTCTCCTTTCTGGGGCATACAATTTCACAGGCTGGACTAAAACCTGATCCAGATCATATCCTGGCAATTTCAAATGCTCCTCCTCCAACAGATTTGCAAACCTTACATTCATTCTTGGGTCTTACCTCCTGGTATGCAAAATTCATTTCCAGTTATGCTTCTGTCATTGAACCGTTACGGGAATTACTACGGAGAAGTTCAACCTTAGTGTGGACAAGAAGACGCACAAGCTAGTTTCGAAACGGTGAAAGACTTGATTGTACATAGTCCAGTACTTGCACTGTTCAGTCCTGCATTGCCCTCAATTGTAACTACTGATGCTTCTGATTATGGCCTTGGGGCTGTTGTCACACAACTGCGTGAGGACAACACAGAGAGGACGGTTGCGTTTGGTTCAAGGAGACTAAGTAATGCTGAGAGGAAATATTCTACAGTCCAAAAAGAAGCACTTGCTTGTGTCTGGGCTACGGAAAGATGGAGAACTTACCCGTGGGGCCGCAGGTTCAAGTTGCGCACAGACCACAGCCCTTTGACGACGTTGCTCACCACGAAAGGACTGGGAAGAGCAGGGTACCGTATTGCTCGAGGGTCTGCAGGACTACTCTCTTTCAGTTATGAACGGGAATATAAGCCTGGAAACCAAAACGTGGTCGCCGATTGCCTTTCTCGCCTGCCTTTGCCTTCACCAGATGATCCACCGGAGGATGAGGATGTCGTGGTTGCGCTTATTACAAGCGCTCTCACTGCAGTTACAAGAGAACAATTTCAAGCTGCTTGTTCAGCGTGTCCAGTTCAACAAAAACTACGGGAATTTCTGACAAAGAGATGGCCCAGTCACCCTAAAAACCTTGACCCGGTTTTGCTGCCTTATTTTAGAGTTCAGGATGAACTTTGTTTGATGGCTGTGTGCTACCAGGTACACACCGGCTCCTTGTGCCAGAAGAATTAGTCAAAACTCATACACCAGGCACACGATACTCATCCAGGAATTGTCCAAACCAAACAACGACTACGGGATCTGTATTGGTGGCCAGGGGTGGACTCTCAAACTGAAGCACTCATAAAATCCTGTGTCACTTGCCAAATGCATGATAAGAGAGCAGTGACATGTACCCCTCCATTACAGCCTGTTCCTCTTCCTGAATCTGCATGGGAAAAAGTGGAAATTGACATTGTAGGACCCTTTGATACTGCTCCAATTGGCTGCCATTATGCCATCACCTTAATAGACTATTTCAGTAAATGGCCTGAGGTGGCGTTTACATCGCAAATCTCTTCTGCTACAGTAATTAAGTTCCTCTCTTCAGTTTTTAGCAGGGAAGGTAACCCCAAGAACTGGTTTCAGATAATGGTAGTCAATTTACTTCCCTGGAGTTTGAAACTTTTCTAGCACAGAGGAACATTTTACACAGAAGGTCATCCCTATAGTACCCTCAAGCCAGTAGGGAAATTGAATGATTTAACAGAAGTTTGAAAGAGAGTTTGCAAATGGCTAAACTGGAAGGGCGATTGTGGATACCCTTCACAACTGATTTCTTGCAAGCACACCGGGCTACACGACATTCCACCACGCAAAGATTGCCTGCAGAGTTACTGCATGGGAAACAGATGAATACTAAACTGAACATTGTTGGATTGTTAAAGGCACGACCTGATGCCCCAATGTCACGGAGTCCCTGGGCGATGCTCTGGAACTGCTCCCCATGAAGCCAGTCAGGACTCTGGGGCAGTCGCCTTTCTGTGAGCAGCCTGTCTTCAGGACACACAGCTCACACAGCTTCCACCTTCCTGGGTCTGACCTCGGAGCATTCAGCATCCTCTGCCCCTCCCTGCGCTTCCCCCCAGCGAGTCCACTCAGGCGGGGCTCCTGGGGAAGCCAGAGGGTCCTGCCCCCCAACTTCGCAGTCAGACGTGACTCTCAGCCAGCCAGTAAAACAGAAGGTTTATTAGACGACAGGAACATGGTCTAAAACAGAGCTTGCAGGTGCAGAGAACGGGACCCCTCAGCTGGGTCCATTTTGGGGGGGCAGTGAGCCAGACAACCACGTCTGCACTTCACTCCATGTCCCAGCCAGCCCCAAACTGAAAACCCCCTCCAGCCCCTCCTCCTCTGGGCTTTGTTCCTTTCCTGGGCCAGGTGGTCACCTGATTCCTTTGTTCTCCAACCCTTCAGCTCTCACCTTGCAGGGGGGGAAGGGCTCAGGCCATCAGTTGCCAGGAAACAGGGTGTCGGCCATTCTCTGTGTCCAGACTCCTGCACACACATGCCCTCTAGGGCTCTGCAATGATCATACACCCTTACTCCACCCCCTAGATACTTAAGAACTGCCTAGGGGAAACTGAGGCACCCCCACACTATTCAGAGGAAACATTAAGAACAGTCCCACTCGTCACACCCAACCGAGGATGATGTCAGAAAAACAGTTGAACAGAACCAAGCAAAGTCTAAGGCTTTCACAGACAAGCGGCGGGGTGCTAAGGAACCAAAGTTTGAGTGTGGTTCCTTCGTGAGAATACGAAAACCTGGAACTTTACGCAAAGGGGACCATAAATTCACAGCTCCTCTTAAAATCATAGAGAAGAAGGGACCTTACACCTATCGACTTTCTGATGGGTGGGTATGGAATGCTTCTTATCTTGCACCTGCCTATGCACCAAGAGGAGATTATGCCAACGCCCAGTCTGCATGGGATGGCTTCACCGTGGTGCCAACACAACAAGACATTGACCTGGAACCGGGGCTTGAGAGACGGCCTGTCAGACCCAGACGACCACCTGTCTGGACTAGAGACTATGTTATGTAGTATCTACGGTGTTTTCAGTGTCATATTTCTGCCAACAGTATAGTGTCTTGTTTCATATTTGTTCCTGTGGTTAGAACAATAATGTTTATTTTAATTGGGAGAGTTTCTTAAGAGAGGCGGGGATGTGGTGTTAAGATGTTGCTTGTAATTATTAGAATTGGGAGCTCTGGCTGTTGGGAGTCTGAAAGGACAGGAACCAGGAAGGAGCGGGGAGGAGTTGAGAGGCTGGGAGAAAGCTACCGAGGGTGCAGCAGCAGCTTGGTAAAGAGGTTTCCACTTCAAAAATAAAGTCCTGTTGAAGCTTGTTAGTACCTTGCCTGGTTGATACAACAGCATTATGGGGCTGTTCTCCACGGTCGGGAGGGTCCCTGTCCCCCTGGGGCCCTGCTGGGGTGGATGAGTGAGCCCAGTTCTCGAGTTGCCCTCCCGGCCCCACCCTGCCCTGCTGGCACGTGCCCGTCGGCCTATGCCGGAGCACATGCGCCCCTGTGTCCGGCCAGGCTCACGCTGTCTGTCCCCTGCAGACTGGCAGGTTTCCCAGCATCTGCAGCAGGCGTCCCGAGCGCACGAGGCCGAGAGCAGCCACCTCTCCCAGCAAGTCAGCACCAAGGAGGCTACCCTGGTGCAGACGGCGAGGGAGCTGGAGCAGGCCAGGCAGGAGCTGGAGCAGGCCAGGCGGGAGCTGGAGCAGGCCAGGCAGGAGCTGGAGCAGGCCAGGCGGGAGCTGGGGCAGGCGAGGCAGGAGGAGAACAGCACCCAGGAGCAGCTGCGAGAGCGGGATGCCGCATTAGAGGGAACGAAGGAGGAGCTGGCGAGGGTACAGGAGGAGAAGAGAGAAATTAAAGAGAAGCTGAACCAAATGGAGAGCGCCCTGTCCAGCATCCGCCCCTGCGAGCAGACAGGTACTGCCTTCCTGGGGCGGGGGTCACTGGGGCCCCCACCCCCCAGCAGGGACAGCTGAGCCCTGGGGCGGGGGAGCACCCAGGGCCAGGGCCGTGCTGCAGCAAGTGGCTCTGGTCATTCAGGAGGGGCAGCTCTTCCCCCAGGCAGTGCTGGCCCCCAGGTCTGCATGGTGCAGGGGAGTGGGTGTGTATTGATGGCGAGGGCGGGGTGTGGGGGGGTAATCAGTGCTGGAGACGAGACAGAAAACCCCGGGTGGTGGGCACTGGCTGGTTCCATGGAATAAGAGTTGGGACGTGAACCCGCTGTCCTGGCCCAGTTCCAACCAGCTCCCCTAAATCCCCCTGCTGTTTCAGCTGTTAAACACGCTGCATCCCACCCCAGAGGTGGCTGCATCTCAGGGGTGCACGAAGCAATGCCTGCCACATGTAGCCTGTCTAACGGTTTATCTGTAGACACAAGCTAGGATCTTTGGAGAAAGGGTGCTGGCCAAATACAAACTATGAACATGCTAATTAGTCAGCCGAGCTCCCATGATTCAGTCTGGCTAAGAGATAACACCTGGACTAACTGAATTCGGGCTGCTTCTCCACCACTGAGCTCTGCTTGCACCCCCCTGCTCTCCCTGCCCCCACCCCCCCGATCTGCTGGCGCTCCTCAGACCCGACCTGCAGCCCCACAATCCAGGTCCAGGCCTCTCTCCCATGTGTTCAGAAGTGGGCGACGCGCACAAACAGCCCATGGGGCCCAGCACACAACGGCCCGTTCGCCTTTGGGACTTTTTGTAGCAAATGCCCACACACGGGGCAGGTTGAGTCATATTTTGTGCCCGTGACGCGCTTGGTGCTTCAACCACCCCAGGCAAAGAAACTATCCCAGGCAATAAAAAATGAGATCAGCTTCCCTGAGGCTGCCCCTGCCAGTCCTGGCCCGGGCTCCCAGGCAGGCGAGCTGGGCGACTCTCCAGCCGGGGCTCTCGTGCGGTGGAGACACCCAGGGCCCTGCACCCTCGCCAAGGGCAAAATCCCAGCCCTGAGGACGACGCGCCATCGCAGACAGCCTGGGGCCCTGCCAACGGGCAGAGCGGGGCACGGGGAGGAGGCGGCTGCCAGGTGACAAGGGCAGCGCGTCGCCGTCTGCTCACACGGAACAAGGAGCTCTGTCAGAACGAGGGAAACAGCCCGATCCCTAGAAGGGCTCAGTCTGTCCGCGCATCACTGCCCAGCCCTCCGGCCAGAGCTGTAACGGAGCAGTGTCCACGTCCTCACGGTGGCTGAATCCCCGGGGGTGGGGGAGAGCGAAAGGACAGGGAAATGTTGAACCCCATGAACAGTTACACTTGTATCTGAGCCCTGGACTCAGCTCCCAGCCTGCCCCAAACCCTCGAGAACCCTCCCCCCCCCCCACCCTCCACCTGCTCGGAGCAGCTCCTGGGGCAGCCTGGAGTCTGGGGGAGTGTGAGCCCCTGGGGAGGGACCAGGCCTTCTTTGTACGGCCCAGGGCATGAGCCTGTTAGCTGCACTCAGGGCCAGGAGCGCCTCTGAGCCTCTCACCCCCTCTTCCCTCCAGGCTGCTGCCCGGCAGACTGGGTGTTGTACAGAGGAAAGTGCTTGTTCGTCTCGAAGGAGGAGAAGACTTGGGAAGAAAGCAAGAAAGACTGCGAAGGGAACTCTGCTCGGCTTCTTATCACCAAATCCTGGGACTCGAGGGCAATGCCGGTACGGTACATGCACGGCCGGAGCGAGCGCAGCCGGAACACTGCGTAAAGAGGGGGTGTCTCCAGGCTGGGCGGGGGGGCGTTGGCAAATAGGCAGGGGCTCAGAGAAGAGCAATGGCAATGATCCAGGGGCTGGAGGAGCGTTACCAGCTCACCTTCTCCACTGAGCAGCGCACCCGCACTGTCCTGGATTGTTCTTTTGTGTCTGACAGATTTGAAGAACCCCCCTTCCTGTTGTCTCTAACATTCCTTGCCAGCTGTAACTCGTTCCTTGCCTTGGCTTTCCTGATTTTGTCCCTACATGCTTGCACTATTGCCATGTCCACTCCCTTGGAGCCGTGCCCCGCCCTCCGTTCCCTGGATTTGTCCCTATGGGTTTGTAGAGAGCTAGAAAGCTCCTCGTGTAGCCACATTGGCCTCCTGCCGCTCCTCTTCTCTCTCCTCTGCCTCCGAATAGCCTGAGTGTTACAGCTCTTAGGAACTGCCAGCCCCCTTCGACTCCTTCTCTCCCCTCCACGGGACCCTGCCTGCGATTTCGCTGACTCCGCTGAAATCCGCCTTTCTGAAGTCCAGTGTCCTTGTTTTGCTGTTCTCGTGTCCTCCTTTCCTTAGGGTCTTGAATTCCATCAGATCATGGTCACTTCCTCCCAAGCTCCCGCCCACCTTCACGGTCGCAACTGGTTCATCCCTGTTGGTCAACACCAGATCCAACATGGATGACCCCCTCGTTGTTTGCTCAACTCCTCCTGAATCAGAAAGCTGTCCCCTCACGTGCTAAGAACTTGCATGTTATGGCTGGTTGTAACAGTCTTACAACAGATACCAGGGAAGTTAAAATCCCCCATTAATACGAGCTCATGCGTCTTAGCTAATCCTGTTACCTGCTTGTGGAATGACTTGTCCACTTCCTCGTCCTGATCTGGTGTCTATAACAGACAACGCCCATCCATAAGATCTCTGCTGTTCTTTTCCCTTGTTATCCTCACCCAGAGACTCTCAGTAGTTCTGCCACGTACTTCGCCTCGCGGCAAGTGTGCACGTTCCTGACCTACAGCAAACACCTCCTCCTTTGTCCCCATATCTGTCCTTCTGGAACAAGCTCTATCCCTCAGTGCTGGTACTCGAGTCATGGGAGCTGTCCCACTAAGTCCCCTTAGTGCCAATTGAGTCATAATTTTCTTCATATCTGATCTGGGGCAGGGGGTTGGGGTGCGGGTTGGGGTGCGGGGTCTGGGAGGGAGTTGGGGTGCAGGAGGAGGATTCTGATCTGGGGCAGGGGGTTGGGGTGCGGGAGGGGGTGCGGGGTCTGGGAGGGAGTTGGGGTGCAGGAGGAGGATTCTGATCTGGGGCAGGGGGTTGGGGTGCGGGGTCTGGGAGGGAGTTGGGGTTCAGGAGGGGGATTCTGATCTGGGGCAGGGGGTTGGGGTGCGGGAGGGGGTGCAGGGTCTGGGAGGGAGTTGGGGTGCAGGAGGGGGATTCTGATCTGGGGCAGGGGGTTGGGGTGCGGGGGGGGTGCGGGGTCTGGGAGGGAGTTGGGGTGCAGGAGGGGATTCTGATCTGGGGCAGGGGGTTGGGGTGCAGGGTTTGAGGGTTGGGGTGCAGGGGTTTGATCTGGGGCAGGGGTTGGGGTGCAGGAGGGGTCGTCTGGGGGGGTTGGGGTGCAGGAGGGGGTGCAGGGTCTGGGAGGGAGTTGGGGTGCAGGAGGGGGATTCTGATCTGGGGCAGGGGGTTGGGGTGCGGGGTCTGGGAGGGAGTTGAGGTGCAGCAGGGGGATTCTGATCTGGGGCAGGGGGTTGGGGTGCAGGAGGGGGTGCAGGGTCTGGGAGGGAGTTGGGGTGCAGGAGGGGGATTCTGATCTGGGGCAGGGGGTTGGGGTGCGGGAGGGGGTGTGAGGTGCAGGCTCCAGCCGGGAGGCACTTACCACAGGCGGCTCCTGCCCGGCGGCACAGCTGGGCTCAGGCTGCCTGCTGTGGCCCCACGGCGCTCCCGGAAGTGGCCGGCTGCTAGCACGTCTCCGCGGCCCCTGCGGGGAAGGGGACAGTGTGTCTCTGTGCACTGCCCGCGTCCGCAAGCGCCGTCCCCGTGGCTCCCACTGGCCAGTTCCCAGCCTCCGCTCTAGCCATGGAGCGCTGGGCTGGTCCGGGCCTGCAGGTCTGTTGTATTGATTTAGAGGGAGTGTACCAGCCCAAAGAGTCAAAGGTGTTAACACGACCCTGTCACTGTCCAGCATTGAACAGTTTTAAACAACGTTCAGGGTTTGGTCCACAGAGACCTCGGCCTGCTGAGTGCCCCGGCAAACACCCCATTCAACAGCCTCTTAACCTTTCATTAAAGATACAGAAAAGGGGGAAAAACAGTTAAAGCCTTTGGAATTAAAGTATTATGTAAGGCTTGCATTTGAACAACATCCCTTGTTCCCTTTCCCTTCAGCTGGAGAGAGTTTTTAAAAAGAACCTGTCTCCCTTTTGACAGTCTCTTAGATGAGCAGCTGTCAACCTTTCCAGACTGCTGCGCCCCTTTCAGGAGTCTGATTTATCTTGCGTACCCCCAAGTTGCACCTCACTTAAAAACTTCTTAAATACAAAATCAGACATAAAAATACAGACATGGCACAGCTCACTAGTCCTGACAAATTTCGACTTTCTCATTTTTACCATATAATTATAAAATAAATCCACTGGAATATAAATATTGTACTGACATTTCGGTGTATCGCATACAGTGCAGTACAAACAAGTCAGTGTCTGTCTGAAATATTAGTTTGTCCTCACGTCGCTGGTGCTTTTTCTGTTGCCTGTTGTAAAACTAGGCAAATATCTAGCTGAATTGATGCACCCCCTGGAAGACCTCTGTGTACCCCAGGGGTACATGTTCCCCTGCCTGAGAACCACTGTCTTAGATGGTATCAAAGATGGTGATAACTGTCCTTCTGGGGAGAGGAGAAGACGTTAGCTGAGATGGGCTAGCGCTGCTGTTAAAGTCCAGTCCTGTTTCCTAAAAGACAAAACGAGACAAACTCCCAAAGGGGGAGAGAAGAGAACAGCAAAGAGAGAAAATGCAGCTTCTCTCTCTGGTGCTGATTCTCACGTGCAGCCTCACTGCTGGAGAGACTCAGGCCCAGCACAAGGTCTGATCGGCCACTCTGAGACCTGACAAACTCGTACCACCATTGGGCTGGTTAGGGCATTGCATTCCTCTGCCTCCCTGGTCACAGGCTCACAGCCTTGCTGCAAAATGTGCAGTCTTGGCTGGCTACCCAGACTCTTATTAGACAGAAGTCAAAAGGAGAAGGACAGGGGAGGGAAGAAATAAGGTGGGGAAGGAAAGGGACGCCCAAGGGAGATGGAGAGATGAAGTCTCACATCCCAAATGGTGTTCAGGACTCAGCCAGAGCTGGTGTCATCTGGGTCCCTCTCTCTGGTCCAGTCTGGTAAGGACAGGACATCTCTCAGGGTCCGAATGATGGTCCCAGAAGATGGGTGAAGGGCAGCCAGGATGGTGAAGCTGGCTCCAGTAGGCAATTTGTCTCCCAAAGTCTCTTTCTTTAAGGATGCCGAAGGGAGTAGTGGGTAGAACAGCCCCTGCCCTCCTTGTCTACCAATTAGACCTAATTTCTGACACACCAATTTTGGCTCCTTGACTTTGGTCCCACACGTCTCTTGTTTATCAGGCAAGGCCTTAACGCAGTCCTTGAGTTACACCAGGGGGCCTTTTTATTTGGACTAATTCAGTCTGTCTCCTTTTTCCACCTTTTCCCATCACGTTTCTTGTCCTAGGGGTATTGTGCCATCTTAGGAACCGTTGCCCACTTTTCACAGCTGAGCTCACACTTCGGGGAAACTCGTAGGCCCAGTTAGCACAGCCGATCCCAGCAGGGAAAGTACCCAGGGCCTCTCATTTCTGGTGGGCTGGGGTGAGTGGGCTCCAGTACGATGGATAACCAATAGCAGGGTGCGCTGGGAGGATGCTGTTCGCCGCCCCACACCTGGCTAGCTGGGTAACTCCACTTCTGGAGCAATGTGATCGTGCTCATGGAAACATCCTTTTCTCCACCAGCTAATCCCTTCCCTGCAGTTCTCTGCTTCTTCACCGCAGTCACTTGAATGCAGGGGTGTCATTATGTAACTCTTTTCTTCCTAGAATTTTCTGAAAAATACTAATGTCCAGTACTGGATTGGACTAGTCTGGAATAAGGAATCAGAGTGGCAGTGGAAGTGGGTTGATAACTCACGCTTTGAAGAGTAAGTATCATATTTATTTCTTAAGCTAGATGCTCCATGTGCTAACCAGTGGCACCATCCAAAAGAAACATGCACTTTAGTAGCTGTAGCTAAAGCCACTGACTAAAGTGTGCTGGAAGGGTTAGAAGTGGCTTCCCATAATGGAACCAACGGGCCTGCAGTTCCTCATGTGGACCCTTTGCCAGAGGGGAATATTTAAAGCAACACCATGTACTTGAAAGCTGCAAAATAACGAGTTTCAAGCAGTTTCAGGTCCTCTGAGGAAATTCTTTATCGGTAGCGCCCAAGCGTAAGTCAGGTGGTTCCTGGGAGGGCAAGGGGCAAAACCACAGAGCAAATGAGTGTAAAACACAAATCCAGATGTCAGGAACATACTTAACAGCGCTGGCAGGGAACGTGAAGAGGAGACATTTCTTAATTGTCTCTGACCCAATGCTGGGAATCTGGCTAACAAGCCAGAGGAATTGGAAATTCTCACTGATGAGAAGAAATGAGGTATTATTGTCATCACTGAGGCCTGGCGGGATGAGTCACAGGACGGGGATGTTAAACTCTCTGGTTACAGCCTCTTTAGGAAGGTTTTTGGGGGGCACTCTGCATGAAAGGCAGCATCACCTGTTTTAGAGGTTTTGCTAACTCAGAAGTGCAGGATCATGCCTATGGATGAATGTGCTAACAAAGCCCAGCGGGTGCACGGGTGGGGTCTGTTACAGACACCAAATCAAACCAGAGAACAGAATGGGATACTCACTAACCTCTTGTCTGTGACGTGGGAAGAAAACCTGTGTTATGAGGGACTTCAGTCTGGGAGAGGTGTGGGAGGTCTCATGACCTGATCACATTCAGTGAGGGCACACAGAGGACAGTCCCAACCAGTAATTTATTCCTAGACCAGAAGGGACCACGATGTTCATCTAGCCTGACATCCGTCACACACAGGCCAGAGCACTGCTCCCCAAAGATGCACTAAAACGTATCTTCTAGAAATCTATCTGACCTCGATTTAAAGACTCCAAGCCATGGAGACACCATGGTGAACTGTTCTAGTGGTTAATCACCCTCACAGCTAGGAAACAGCATCTTATTTCAAGGTTGAATTTGTCCAACTCCAACTTCCAGCCATTGGACCTTGTTATGGCTTTGTCTGCTAGCCTGAAAAGCCCCTTGGTGTCAGCTCTCTTTTCCATGTGTCAGAACCTAGACACTGAGACGGCGTCACCTCTCAACCTTGTCTTTGATAAGCGGATTAGATTGGGCTCCTCAAACCTCGGATCATACATCCTGTTTTCCATCCTCTGGATCATTTTTGTGACCCTCCTCTGAACATTCTCTGGTATTTCCACATCCTTCTTCAGGTGCGGACACCAGGATTGGACACAGTATTCTAGTATCGCCTCTGTACGCAGCATGGTCAGGCTAAGATCACTTCCTTATTTCTACTGGAAAGTCCCTTTTTTATACACCCATGGAGCATGTTAGCTCTTTCTGCCACAGCCTTGCACTCATGGCTCACGTTGAGGCCACACAAAGTCCTTTTGTGAGTCGCTGCTTCCCAAGACAAAGTCTCATGTTGTAATGATGCTGCCCTTGGTGGGACACTTCTGAGAGTACCAATTCAGGACAAATTGCTTTAAGCAGAGCAATTACAGCCCAAGGCTGGGGTTTCTCCACCTCTAAGGCACACCAAACCAGCCAGACAGAGAGGACTTTGGTTTTACCGCAAGCAATTCCCTTAGACACTACCGTTTCCCAGCATCACCACCAGTGCCCCTCGTTATGGGGATGAACGGTTATGAAAACCAACACCCCAGCAAAAGAAAAAAGGTTCCCTCAATCCCAAAGGACCAAACCCCAGACCCAGGTCAATATACAAATCAGATCTTACCCACAAATCACGCTGTTGCTAATCCCTTAGAATGTAAAATCTAAAGGTTTATACATAAAAGGAAAAAGAGAGAGATGAGAGCTAGAATTGGTTCAATGGAGTCAATGACATACAGTGATGGCAGAGTTCTTGGGTCAGGCTTGTAGCAGGGATGGAATAAACTTCCGGTTCAAATCAAGCCTCTGGAGAACATCCCCAGCTGGGATGGGTCATTCAGTCCTTTGTTCAGAGCTTCAGTTTGCAGTAAGGTTCCTCCAGAAGTAAGAAGCAGGATTGAAGACAAGATGGAGGTGTTTTCAGGGCATTTTATATTCTCTGCCCATAGACGGACACAGCGGCAAGATGGAGTTTGGAGTCACATGTCCATACACGTCTCAGTTCTTTACAGGCCGACACCATTGTTTACATGTTAGTTTGAACGTTCCCAGGAAAGCTCAGATGTGGATTGGTGTCCCCCAAAGTTCATTGTCAGTTAGGTGTTTCTTGACTGGGCACTTACTGAGAATAGTCCTTTGTCAAGAAGCTGACCAAATGCTTCACTGAGGCTACTGGGGGGGGGGGGGAGAGCTCAGTGATTTGAGCATTGGCCTGCTAAACCCAGGGTTGTGAGTTCAATCCTTGAGGGGGCCATTTAGGGATCTGGGGCAAAAATTGGGGATTGGTCCTGCTTTGAGCAAGGGGTTGGACTAGATGACCTCCTGAGGTGCCTTCCAACCTTGATATTCTATGATTCTATGAAAACACATTAAGATACAAGTACATAGCCAATATTCATAACTTCAACTACAACAATGACACACCCATACAGATAGCATCATCATAATCAGCAAATTATAACCTCTCCATAGACACCTCACACGATAACCTTTGTACAAAATCTGCTGCGAATATATAACAGTGGTTGCAACAATGATCTATACAGTCACAGTTCATGTCAATATCGTTACACATGTCCTGTAGAAATAACCAGTGTTCTTGGTTCCCAGATGCACTGCCATGCATTTGGCTGTATTAAATCACGTTTTGTCGGATTGTGACTATTTAACCAGCCAATACAGATGACTGTGACAGTCTCCTGTCTTCCTCATTACTCACCACTCCACCAATCTTTGTGTCACCTGCATAATTACCAGCCAAGATTTTATATCATGATCTAGATTCTTGATAATATTGAAGTGTTGGACCAGAAACCAATCTTTCGGATCCTGCTAGAAATGGCCCCGCTCATTGTGAACAAAGACATTTTGCAACCTCCCAGTGAGCCAGTTTTTAATCCATCTAACATGTGCCCTATTAGTTCCATTTGTAACCCTTCTGCCAGGTGGAGCCGGCAGCAACCAGGGCCGGGTTCAATATCTAGGGGGTCCCTTTTCAACAATACAACACAGGACTGGCTCGAGCCCTGACCCAGTGACCTGGGACAATTACACCCCCACCCTGCTTCTACCTGCTTTGACCTGGAAAAAGGCTAATGTAGTGCCCATCTTTAAAAAAGGGAAGAAGGAGGATCCGGGGAACTACAGGCCAGTCAGCCTCCCCTCAGTCCCCGGAAAAATCATGGAGCAGTTCCTCAAGGAATCAATTCTGAAGCACTTCGAGGAGAGGAAAGTGATCAGGAACAGTCAGCATGGATTCAACAAGGGCAAGTCATGCCTGACTAATCTAATTGCCTTCTATGACGAGATAATTGGCTCTGTGGATGAGGGGAAAGCAGTGGACGTGTTGTTCCTTGACTTTAGTAAAGCTTTTGACACGGTCTCCCACAGTATTCTTGCCAGCAAGTTGAAGAAGTATGGGCTGGATGAATGGACTATAAGGTGGATAGAAAGCTGGCTAGATTGTCAGGCTCAACGGGTAGTGATCAATGGCTCCATGTCTAGTTGGCAGCCGGTATCAAGCGGAGTGCCCCAAGGATCGGTCCTGGGGCCAGTTTTGTTCAATATCTTCATTAATGATCTAGAGGATGGTGTGGATTGCACCCTCAGCAAGTTTGCGGATGACACTAAACTGGGAGGAGTGGTAGATAGGCTGGAGGGTAGGGATAGGATACAGAGGGACCTAGACAAATTGGAGGATTGGGCCAAAAGAAATCTGATGAGGTTCAACAAGGACAAGTGCAGAGTCCTGCACTTAGGACGGAAGAACCCCATGCCCCGCTACAGACTAGGGACCGAATGGCTCAGCAGCAGTTCTGCAGAAAAGGACCTAGGGGTTACAGTGGACGAGAAGCTGGATATGAGTCAGCAGTTTGCCCTTGTTGCTAAGAAGGCCAATGGCATTTTGGGATGTATAAGTAAGGGCACTGCCAGCAGATCGAGAGACGTGATCGTTCCCCTCTATTCGACATTGGTGAGGCCTCATCTGGAGTACTGTGTCCAGTTTTGGGCCCCACACTACAAGAAGGATGTGGATAAATTGGAGAGGAGTCCAGCAAAGGGCAACAAAAATGATTAGGGGTCTGGAGCACATGACTTATGAGGAGAGGCTGAGGGAACTGGGATTGTTTAGTCTGCGGAAGAGAAGAATGAGAGGGGATTTGATAGCTGCTTTCAACTACCTGAAAGGGGGTTCCAAAGAGGATGGCTCTAGACTGTTCTCAGTGGTGGCAGATGACAGAACGAGGAGTAATGGTCTCAAGTTGCAGTGGGGGAGGTTTAGGTTGGATATTAGGAAAAACTTTTTCACGAGGAGGGTGGTGAAGCACTGGAATGCGTTACCTAGGGAGGTGCTGGAATCTCCTTCCTTAGAAGTTTTTAAGGTCAGGCTCAACAAAGCCCTGGCTGGGATGATTTAGTTGGGGATTGGTCCTGCTTTGAGCATGGGTTTGGATTAGATGACCTCCTGAGGTCCCTTCCAACGCTGATATTCTATGATTCTAAGATGCATGTATCAGCAACTTCAACACAATTCTTATCAGGAAGGACGCGGGGTCAAGCTGCCCTTTCTGTGGCACCCAACCCCCTCCACCACCACCATCACACACACCTTTGGTTCTTTCTGATGAAGTGAGCTGTAGCTCACGAAAGCTCATGCTCAAATAAATTGGTTAGTCTCTAAGGTGCCACAAGTACTCCTTTTCTTTTTGCGAATACAGACTAACACGGCTGTTACTCTGAAACCTTTGTTAAGCTAAGCCTGCTGACTTGGCTGCTTTTCGCAATAAGCCATAGTGGTTTCAGGCACTTTACTGGTTTGCCAAAGTCTCCCCGTACAGGGGCAGGTCTCTAGCCCACGCTGTGCAGGAGGTCAGGCCGGTCCTAGGGCCCGTGCTGTGCAGGGGGTCAGACTAGATTTGCACGGTGGTCCCTTCTGGCCCGGGAATCCATGAAGCTGAGTATGGAGAGGCAGAGCTGAGTCACCGCAGAGCCGGGGGCAGAAGCAGCACGACTGGACCAGGGTGGACAGGGAGACGAGCCCTGTGCCAAGCCCACCGAGAGGGGCAGAGGGGCAGGAGAGGCTGAAGGGAGCCGGCAGAAGCAGCAGCAGGCAGGGGAGGTGAGAATGCCCAGGGGGGACAGGATTCCAAGGCAGAAGCTCAGCTGTGACCACAGCAGCCAGGGCCAGGAAACCTTGACAGCCAAAGGTTAGGTGCTGAGTGACTTTAGGCTCCTCCAGGGCTCAGCGGCAGCCGAGGGGGGATTTTCTGCAGCGCAGGGTGCCGAGGCCTGGGACTTGCGTGTCTTTGTGGATCTGGGCCCAGGGCACCTACATACAGAGCAGATTTCTGGTGGCAGGCGGCTCCTCAATCTAGCTGCAGACGAGAGCAGAGCAAGCCCCAGTGGCTGGAAGACGAAGAGAGACAAAAATCAGACAGGAAATAAGGCAGAAAACCGGGCGGGGAATTAACCAATGGAACAACTCACCCAGGCACTCGGCGGAGTCTCCGTCCCCCGGGTTTCCGTGACGAGGGGGTGTCCTTTCGCTGAAGGTGGGGCTCCTGGCTGGGCTGCGGCTGTCGCTGGGTGAATCATAGAATCATAGAATATCAGGGTTGGAAGGGACCCCAGAAGGTCATCTAGTCCAACCCCCTGCTCAAAGCAGGACCAATTCCCAGTTAAATCATCCCAGCCAGGGCTTTGTCAAGCCTGACCTTAAAAACCTCTAAGGAAGGAGATTCTACCACCTCCCTAGGTAACGCATTCCAGTGTTTCACCACCCTCTTAGTGAAAAAGTTTTTCCTAATATCCAATCTAAACCTCCCCCACTGCAACTTGAGACCATTCCTCCTCGTTCTGTCCTCTGCTACCATTGAGAACAGTCTAGAGCCATCCTCTTTGGAACCCCCTTTCAGGTAGTTGAAAGCAGCTGTCAAATCCCCCCCTCATTCTTCTCTTCTGCAGGCTAAACAATCCCAGCTCCCTCAGCCTCTCCTCATAACTCATGTGTTCCAGACCCCTAATCATTTTTGTTGCCCTTCGCTGGACTCTCTCCAATTTATCCACATCCTTCTTGTAGTGTGGGGCCCAAAACTGGACACAGTACTCCAGATGAGGCCTCACCAATGTCGAATAGAGGGGAACGATCACGTCCCTCGATCTGCTGGCAATGCCCCTACTTATACATCCCAAAATGCCATTGGCCTTCTTGGCAACAAGGGCACACTGCTGACTCCTATCCAGCTTCTCGTCCACTGTCACCCCTAGGTCCTTTTCCGCAGAACTGCTGCCTAGCCATTCGGTCCCTAGTCTCTAGCTGTGCATTGGGTTCTTCCGTCCTAAGTGCAGGACCCTGCACCCCTTAGGCCCCCACGGGTCCTTATCTGAACCTCATCAGATTTCTTTTGCTCCGGCTCCAATCCTCTCAGTTTTACTCTGGTGAGAGTCCACCGTGCAGACCCCTCCCCCAGGACACGCCGAGCGACTCCGGGGGGAAACCCCCGAAAAGGCAAAGGATGCTAAATTCCCCGAGGCAGACCCAGGAAGGGGCGGTGAGCTGTGTCTCCCCCCCCCAGGGACTGACGTGACACCCTCCCCTCCAGCGTATCTACCACTCCTCCCAGTTTAGTATCATCCGCAAATTTGCTGAGAGTGCAATCCACACCATCCTCCAGATCATTTATGAAGATATTGAACAAAACCGGCCCCAGGACCGACCCTTGGGGCACTCCACTTGATACCGGCTGCCAACTAGACATGGAGCCATTGATAACTACCCGTTGAGCCCGACAATCTAGCCAGCTTTCTACCCACCTTGTAGTGCATTCATCCAGCCCATACTTCCTTAACTTGCTGACAAGAATTCTGTGGGAGACCGTGTCAAAAGCTTTGCTAAAGTCAAGAAGCGACTCTGGCCTTGAAATCGATGGTGACCTGGCCTTAGTGCGCCAGGGTGGCAGAGCTGACAGTCAGCGTAGGGCGGGCCAGGCTGTCTCAGCAATGCCCCTTCTCTTTCCAGAGACTGGAGCTACGCGCGTTACAGCCTTACGTCGTGTGGAGCAATAAGAAATGGCTTCATAAACAGGGACTTGTGCTACTCTCCAAAGCCATGGATCTGTGAGAAGGCACCCAGCCAGCCCAGCCCAGCCAGACGTTGGTTTCCTTCGAGTCCCTAGAGGGACAATCAGTGAGAGCCCTACTGGACAGTCCTGTGAGTCTGCAGCACCATCCCCGTATTGGGGACATCTTGGGCAAGGTCCAGGTTTGCAGGGTGGGGCTGGGGGGCAGGGCACATGGGGGCAGGGGAGTGATGGGTTTGCAGGGCAGGGCTGGGGGGCAGGGCACACCGGGGGGGCGGGGAAGTGGTGAGTTTGCAGAGCGGGGCTGGGGGGCAGGGCACTCGGAGGGCAGGGGCATGGTGGGTTTGCAGGGCAGTGCTGGGGGGCAGGGCACACTGGGGGCAGGGGAGCGGGGTGTTTGCAGGGCGGTGCTGGGGGGGCAGGGCACACGGGGGACAGGGACGCGGGGGGGTTGCAGGGTGGTGCTGGGGGGCAGGGCACTCGGGGGGCAGGGGAGCGGTGGGTTTTCAGGGTGGTGCTGGGGGGGCAGGGCACACTGGGGGCAGGGGAGTGGGGTGTTTGCAGGGCGGTGCTGCAGGGCAGGGCACACGGGGGACAGGGACGTGGGGGGTTTTCAGGGTGGTGCTGGGGGGTAGGGCACATGGGGGGCAGGGGAGCGGTGGCTTTGCAGGGTGGTGCTGGGGGGCAGGGCACTCGGGGGGCAGGGGAGCGGTGGGTTTTCAGGGTGGTGCTGCGGGGCAGGGCACACAGGTTAGCTGTGGGTTCAGTGGGTTGTGCTGGGGTAACAGGGGGGCCCAGCGAGCGTGCCTGTCCCCCTCCTCCCTGTGGTGCAGATCCAGGGCTCAGTATAACCGAGGATGTTTCTGAACTAAAGCACCAGCCAGGCTCCCCTGCGGGCTCCGGGCACCAGTCAGGTCGATTCGCGTCGCCCTGGGCATGCCCCAAATCAGCCGCCCCTGAGCCCAAACTCACCCCGTTCCCCAGGCCGTGCAGAGCCACAGAACCAGGCCCCCCACCCCGGCTGTACGAGGGGCAGAGGCCAGGCCTAGCTGGCACTGCCATTGCATCCGTCAGGGTCTCAGGCCTGCCCCAGCCGGGGGCGGGGGACTGACCCCCCGGCCCAGCTCACCCTGGCTGTTCCCTTACAGCTCCCGCTGCGCCAGGCTCGGCTCCTGTGTCGTCTTCCTGCCCTGCTCCCAGTGCTGAGGACACAGCGCCCGAGGGCCGGCCCCACCAGCATCGCCTGCTCCACACTCAGCCTTGCCCCCTGCCTGGGGGGCAGGGCCCCTGCTCCGGCCTGGAGCCCGGCCTCGCCCCCGGCAGGTGCCAGCTCGCGCACTGGGCAGGGCAGGGTGCTCGCAGCAAAGGGCTGGGGCGTCATGCCCACGAAAAGAGCTGCCGGCCATCAGCACACAGCCAGCCCCCTTCCCGCACATGGGGCTGGGTTCCATGCGGGCGAGTGGCCACTAAATGCCCCAGTGGGGCAGGCTCCGGGGAGGGGCACCCAGAGCGCTCCCCACGGCTGCCGACACCTGCCAGCAGGGCAGGAGCAGGGAGCTGCGCTCTGCCCCACAGATCCTCCTGCAGCCCCCTGGCTGTGGGCATGGGCCCATGCAGGGCAAGCAGCCTGCCCCTTTCTAACGGTGGTGGGCTCCCACGCAGGCCGGGTCGCTCGTGCGGGGTGATTTCTGCAGCCCACAGCCCGGCGTGGCTGGGATTGGGGCGCTGCCCGGCCGCTGGGGCAGCAGAGCAGTGACCCAGAGCACCCAGGGCTGGTCCCAGGCCCAGCTGTGCCCGGGGGTGTCACCGCCGGGCCTGGGGCACAGCCCTCGCCGCCCTGCCTTCCGCACCCAGCGTTTGATGGGTTAGCGGGGCAAGGGCTGGGTGAGCCCAACACGGCCCCCCCGGTCCTGCCCCCGGCCTTCAGAGACACAACACGCCCCCCCCACACCCCTCCGGCCTTCAGAGACGCAACACGCCCCCCCACACCCCCTCCACACCCCTCCGGCCTTCAGAGACACAACACGCCCCCCCCACACCCCTCCTGGCCTTCAGAGACACAACACGCCCCCCCCACACCCCTCCTGGCCTTCAGAGACACAACACGCCCCCCCACACCCCCCCACACCCCTCCGGCCTTCAGAGACACAACACGCCCCCCACACACACCCCACACCCCTCCGGCCTTCAGAGACACAACACGCCCCCCCACACACACCCCACACCCCTCCGGCCTTCAGAGACACAACACGCCCCCCCACACCCCCTCCACACCCCTCCTGGCCTTCAGAGACACAACACGCCCCCCCACACCCCCTCCTGGCCTTCAGAGACACAACACGCCCCCCACACCCCCCCACACCCCCCCACACCCCTCCGGCCTTCAGAGACACAACACGCCCCCCCCCACACACCCCTGGCCTTCAGAGACACAACACGCCCTCCCCACACCCCTCCGGCCTTCAGAGACACAACACGCCCCCCCCCACGCCCCTCCGGTCTTCAGAGACACAACACACACCCCCCACACCCCTCCGGCCTTCAGAGACACAACACGTCCCCCCACGCCCCCCACACACCCCTCCGGCCTTCAGAGACACAACACGCCCCCGCTCCTGCTCCCTTGGGCTTCAGAGACACAACATAGATTCACAGACTCATAGACTTTAAGGTCAGAAGGGACCATTATGATCATCTAGTCTGACCTCCTGCACAACGCCGGCCACAGAATCTCACCCACCCGCTCCTGACCTATGTCTGAGCTAAGTCCTCAATTCGTGGTTTAAAGACTTCAAGGTGCAGAGAATCCTCCAGCAAGTGACCTGTGCCCCACGCTGCAGAGGACGGTGAAAAACCCGCAGGGTTTCTGCCAATCTGCCCTGGAGGAAAATTCCTTCCCGACCCCAAATATGGTGATCAGCTAAACCCAGAGCATGTGGGCAAGACTCACCAGCCAGACACCCAGGAAAGAATTCTCTGTAGTAACTTAGATCCCACCCCATCTAACATCCCATCACAGGCCATTGGGCATATCTACTGCTAATAGTCGAAGATCAATTAATTGCCAAAATTAGGCTATCCCATCATACCATCCCCTCCATAAACTTATCAAGCTTAGTCTTGAAGCCAGATATGTCTTTTGCCCCCACTGCTCCCCTTGGAAGGCTGTTCCAGAACTTCACTTTTCTGATGGTTAGAAACCTTCGTCTAATTTCAAGTCTAAACTTCCCGATGGCCAGTTTAAATCCATTTGTTCTTGTGTCCACATTGGTACTGAGCTTAAATAATTCTTCTCCCTCTCCGGTATTTATCTCTCTGATATATTTATAGAGAGCAATCCTATCTCCCCTCAACCTTCTTTTGGTTAGGCTAAACAAGCCAAGCTCTTTGAGTCTCCCTTCATAAGACAGGTTTTCCATTCCTCGGATCATCCTAATAGCCCTTCTCTGCACCTCTTCCAGTTTGAATTCATCTTTCTTAAACATGGGAGACCAGAACGGCACACAGTATTCCAGGGGAGGTCTCCCCAGTGCCTTGTATACCGGTACTAACGCCTCCTGATCTCTACTGGAAATACCTCGCCTGATGCATCCTCAGACCGCATTAGCTTTTTTCACGGCCATGTCACATTGGCGGCTCATAGTCATTCTGTGATAAACCAATACTCCAAGGTCCTTCTCCTTCTCTGTTACTTCCAAGTGATGCGTCCCCAGTTTATAACAGAAATTCTTGTTATTAATCCCTAAATGCATGACCTTGCACTTTTGCCTATTAAATTTCATCCTATTACTATTACTCCAGTTTACAAGGTCATCCAGATCTTCCTGTAGGATATCCCGGTCCTTCTCTGTATTGGCAATACCTCCCAGCTTTGTATCATCCGCAAATTTTATTAGCACATTCCCACGTTTTGTGCCAAGGTCAGTAATAAAAAGATTAAATAAGATTGGTCCCAAAACCGATCCCTGAGGAACTCCACTGGTAACCTCCCTCCAGGCTGACAGTTCACCTTTCATTGTGACCCACTGTAGTCTCCCCTTTAACCAGTTCCTTATCCACCTTTCAAATTGATCCCCAGCTTTTCCAATTTAGCTAGTAATTCCCCATGTGGAACCATATCAAATGCCTTAGTGAAATCGAGGTAAATTAGATCCACTGCGTTTCCTTTGTCTAAAAAAATCTGTTACCTTCTCAAAGAACAGGTTTCAGAGTAACAGCCGTGTTAGTCTGTATTCGCAAAAAGAAAAGGAGGACTTGTAGCACCTTAGAGACTAACCAATTTATTTGAGCATGATGAAGTGAGCTGTATTGGTTAGTCTCTAAGGTGCTACAAGTACTCCTTTTCTTCTCAAAGAAGGAGATCAAGTTGGTTTGGCACGATCTACCTTTTGTAAAGCCATATTTTGTCCCAGTTACCATTGACCTCAATGTCCTTAACTACTTTCTCCTTCAAAATTTTTTCCAAGACCTTGCATACTACAGATGTCAAACTAAAAGACGTGTAGTTACCTGGTGTCACAGAGTCCCTGGGCGATGCTCTGGAACTGCTCCCCATGAAGCCAGGCAGGACTCTGGGGAAGTCTCCTCTCTGGGAGCAGCCTGTCTGCAGGACACACAGCTCACCCGGCTTCCACCTTCCTGGGTCTGACCTTGGAGCATTCAGCCTCCTCTGCCCCTCCCTGCGCTTCCCACAGCGAGTCCGCTCAGGCGGGGTCCTGGGGAAGCCAGAGGGTCCTGCCCCCAACTTCGCAGTCAGACGGGACTCTCAGCCAGCCAGTAAAACAGAGGTTTATTAGACGACAGGAACATGGTCTAAAACAGAGCTTGTCAGTGCAGAGAACCAGACCCCTCAGCTGGGTCCATTTTGGGGGGCAGTGAGCCAGACAACCACGTCTGCACTTCACTCCATGTCCCCCGCCAGCCCCAAACTGAAACTCCCTCCAGCCCCTCCTCCTCTGGGCTTTGTCCCTTTCCCGGGCCAGGAGGTCACCTGATCCCTTTGTTCTCCAACCCTTTAGCTCTCACCTTGCAGGGGGGAAGGGCCCAGGCCATCAGTTGCCAGGAAACAGGGTGTCGGCCATTGTCTGTGTCCAGACTCCTGCACACACCTGCCCTCTAGGGCTCTACAATGATCCTACACCCTTACCCCACCCCCTAGATATTTAAGAACTGCCTAGGGGAAACTGAGGCTCCCCCACAATATTCAGAGGAAACATTAAGAACAGTCCCACTTCGTCACACCTGGATCACTTTTTTTTCCTTTCTTAAAAATACGAACTATGCTAGCAATTCTCCAGTCATACGGTACAACCCCTGAGTTTACAGATTCATTAAAAATTCTTGCTAACGGACTTGCAATTTCTTTCTTTGTTTTCTTCTTATTTATATGGCTATAGAACCTTGTACTATTGGTTTTAATTCCCTTTGCAAGGTCCAACTCCTTTTGGCCTTTCTCACTTTATCCCTACATGTTCTGACCTCAATAAGGTAGCTTTCCTTGCTGATCCCTCCCATCTTCCACTCCTTGTAGACTTTCTGCTTTTTCTTAATCACCTCTCTGAGATGCTTGCTCATCCAGCTTGGTCTACACCTCCTGCCTATGAGTTTTCCCCCTTTCTTGGGATGCAGGCTTCTGGTAGTTTCTGCAACCTTGACTTGAAGTAATTCCAGGCCTCCTCCGCCTTTAGAGCCACAAGTTTTTCAGTCCAACCCACTTCCCTAACTAATTGATGATTTAACTGGGAATTGGTCCTGCTTCGAGCAGGGGGTTGGACTAGATGACCTTCTGGGGTCCCTTCCAACCCTTATATTCTATGATTCTATGATTCTAATTTCCTTAATTTTTTAAAGTCAGCCCTTTTGAAATCGAAAACCCTAGTTGCAGATCTATTTTTGTTTATCCTTCCATTTAGTTTGAACTGAATTAGCTCATGATCACTCGAACCAAGGTTGTCCCCTACAGCCATTACTTCTATGAGGTCCTCACTACTCACCAAAACCAAATCTAGAATGGCATCCCCTCTTGTCGGTTCAGCAACTACTTGGTGAAGGAATCCATCAGCTATCGCATCTAGGAACATCTGAGCCCGATTATTATGACTAGCACTCGTCCTCCAAGTTAAAGTCTCCCATGATCACACAATTCCCATTAGTATTTACTTCTTTAAAAACATGAAAGAGGGCTCTATCCATATCCAGATCGGATCCTGGTGGTCTCTAGCACACCCCAAGCACTAGCCCAGGGCAGGATCTAGTAGCTTTCTTCCCCAATGTGATTTTTGCCCAGACAGACTCTGTCTTGTCCATTCCATCGCTGATTTCTTTACATTCTACCTCCTCAGTGATAGACAATGCTACTCCACCCCCTTTGCCTTTATTTCGGTCTTTCCTAAACAGCACATCCCCTTCCATACCCGTACTCCAGTCGTGACGACCATTCCACCCTGTTTCTGGTCTCCCTAGAATACCCGGTTTCACTTCCTGCACCGGTACCTCTAGTTCCTCCCTTTTGTTACCTGGGCTCCTCGCATTGCTGTACAAACAGCTTCATTTTTGCTGTTTGGCCTCGCTCACGTTCTTTACCCGATGAGGCATGGTCATTCTACAGCCCGTATCTCCTACTAGGCTGGTATCCACGCTGCCCTTCCTCCTCATGTCCATTCTCCTACCCACAGCTGTCTCCTTTCTTACTTCGTTTTCTTCCCTCTCAAGGCTAAAATCCGGCGTGGAGATTACCTGGACATGTCCCAACCGACCATCCATCTCCCCCAGATTCCTAGTTTACAGCTCTCTGAATCCGTTGTGCCAGCCTCCATCCTAGAAGGCTATTTCCCTCCCTACTCAGATGAAGTCCATCCCGAGAGAACTGTCCTCTGCCCAGGAATGCCTCCCAGTGGCCACACATCCCAACGCCCTCCTGACAGCGTGTGACGAAGTGGGACTGTTCTTAATGTTTCCTCTGAATAGTGTGGGGGTGCCTCAGTTTCCCCTAGGCAGTTCTTAAGTATCTAGGTGGTGGGGTAAGGGTGTATGATCATTGCAGTGCCCTAGAGGGCAGGTGTGTGCAGGGGTCTGGACACAGAGAATGGCCGACACCCTGTTTCCTGGCAACTGATGGCCTGGGCCCTTCCCCCCCTGCAAGGTGAGAGCTGAAGGGTTGGAGAACAAAGGAATCAGGTGACCTCCTGGCCCGGGAAAGGAACAAAGCCCAGAGGAGGAGGGGCTGGAGGGGTTTTCAGTTTGGGGCTGGCTGGGACATGGAGTGAGGTGCAGACATGGTTGTCTGGCTCACTGCCCCCCAGAATGGACCCAGCTGAGGGGTCCCGTTCTCTGCACCTGCAAGCTCTGTTTTAGACCATGTTCCTGTCGTCTAATAAACCTTCTGTTTTACTGGCTGGCTGAGAGTCCCGTCTGACTGCGAAGTTGGGGTGCAGGACCCTCTGGCTTCCCCAGGACCCCGCCTGGGTGGACTGGCTGTGGGAAGCGCACAGAGGGGCAGAGGATGCTGAATGCTCCGAGGTCAGACCCAGGAAGGTGGAAGCTGTGTGAGCTGCGTGTCCTGAAGACAGGCTGCTCACAGAAAGGCGACTACCCCAGAGTCCTGACTGACTTCATGGGGAGCAGTTCCAGAGCATCGCCCAGGGACTCCGTGACACAGCGCCGCTGCCTGACCCAGCTGTGGATAGTCATCATCTTGTCACACCTTTGTTGCCCTTCTCTAGGAACAGGCAGAATCCCACTGAAGATCACCCGAGCCTCGATTTCCTTAAGCCCCCCATCCTCCCCCAGGCTTCAGAGACACAACACGGGACCCACACGGCACCCCCTGCTCCCCCAGGCTTCAGAGACACAACGCGGCACACCCCCTCCCCCCGCTGGGCTTGCAGGGGCCTGTCAAAGTGCGGCCCAGCAGCCATCCCTGGAGCTGGGCAGTGCAGGGAGCCGAGAGCGGCCGGAGGCTGGGGGCAAGCAGAGGGCGTGGGAGGAGGCCGGTGCTGCAGGCAGGGGGGCAGAGCAGGCCCAGAAGTTTGGCTGGCGCCGGCATGTGAAGATTTATGACCAAGGACGGTCACGAGCCCAGGGGGGTGGGAGCTGGCCGCGTGCCTGGGGCAGGTGAGAAGGGGGCCAGGCTGGCGTGGGGAGCCACGCTGCAGTGGGGCTGGGCTGAACGGGGGGGCAGCACAGGGCCAAGGTGCAGAGACGGGGCAATGCTCATGCCCCACCCCAAGATGCTGCTGTGACGAAGTGGGACTGTTCTTAATGTTTCCTCTGAATACTGTAGGGGTGCCTCAGTTTCCCCTAGGCATTTCTTAAGTCTCTAGGTGGTGGGATAAGGGGGTGTAATTGTTGCAGAGCAAAGGGCCAGGGTACATAAATGGCCGACACTCTGTCTCCTGGCACCTGATGGCCTGGGCCCTTCCCCCCTGCAAGGTGAGAGCTAAAGGGTTGGAGAACAAAGGAATCCGGTGCCCTCCTGGCCCAGAAAGGGACAAAGCCCAGAGGAGGGGGGGCTGGAGGGGGAGTCAGTTTGGGGCTGGCTGGGGACGAGGAGTGAAGGGCAGACGGGGTTGTCTGGCTCCCTGCCCCCCAAAATGGACCCAGCTGAGGGGTCCCGTTCTCTGCACCTACAAGCTCTGTGTTAGACCATGTTCCTGTCGTCTAATAAACCTTCTGTTTTACTGGCTGGCTGAGAGTCCCGTCTGACTGCGGAGTTGGGGGGCAGGACCCTCTGGCTTCCCCAGGATAACGCCTGGGCAGACTGGCTGCGGGAAGCGCAGGGAGGGGCAGAGGAGGCTGAATGCTCCGAGGTCAGACCCAGGAAGGTGGAAGCCGGGTGAGCTGTGTGTCCTGCAGACAGGCTGCTCCCGGAGAGGAGACTTCCCCAGCGTCCTGCCTGGCTTCATGGGGAGCAGTTCCAGAGCAACGCCCGGGGACCCCGTGACAGCTGCCCCCAGCAACATGGTGCAGGGATGGAGCCAGGGTGGCCCCAGCTGCCGTGCTCCCAGCACAGGATTGGCTCCATCCCTCGCACCGGTGTATCCCCCTGGGCCCCGGCCAGAAGGCAGCAAGGACGAGCCCCCTCCCCAGCGACACCTCCCTTTTCACCAGCAGCTGCTGAGCCATACCTGCCCCACTGCCCGCCCCCCACCATCCCCTCCTCCCTGCGCTGCAACCAGGGGCCTCCTGGGGCTGAAACCCACAGGAACAGCCTTCAGTGCTGCTGACACGCTCCCCACCCCCAGGGCTGTGCAATCCCAAGGACACAGATGGGGAAACCGAGGCACAGCACTGAGGGGCCTCACTTGAGGTGGGTTTTCCTGACTCACACTCCCAGGCCTGGCTGTGTCCCTGTCCTGCGACCAGCAAGATCAGCGTCCCCCCCCACCACACAGCACACACACAGTGGGTGCTGGGACAGTCACTTTTATTGGAACACCTTAAATAAGCCGTATATATTACTAGCAATTATCAATCATAATAAAAAACAAGAGTCTGCACGCACCAGGGCATCGTACACGTCGGCTGCGGGGAGCCCGGGGGCCACCCCAGGCAGGGACTGGGCAGCTTGGGGACGCAGCTGGGGGGGGGGGGGCAAGCCCCAGCCACCATATTGCAAACAGACCTGCCCCATTGGCTGCTCCACAGCCGCCATGGAGGGGGCAGGGCCTGAACCAGGAAGTGATGGGGGTGGGGTGGGGGGGTGTATTTATCCCCACTTGCCAGGGACTGGCATCCAGCCTGCTTTGTGCCTGGCGGGCCGCAGGCCCTGCCCCCCCCCCTCCCCCAGACAGGCAGGTTCCATGGGGGAGGGCATCGTGCTGTCTCCCCTGCTCAGCGCCCGGCTCACCCGTTACCCAGCCCCCTTACCCCTGTGTGTGATGGACAGAGGGGAGCCCCCAGTGCACACTGCTGCCCCCCAGGCTTGTGCTCCCATCGCCTCTGAGCACGGGGGCTGGGGAGCGGACGTGCAGGGACAAGCGACCAAGAAGGAGCCCCAGGCCCTGGAGTGACCCCCTGACTGCACCTGCTCAGGGGTCACCCCTGCTCCTCTCCCCACAGCCGCGGGCAGGGAGGGGCGGCATGGAGGGCCGGCCCAGCCCACCTGCCCCAGCGAGCCTTCCCAGAGACTCCTGGGTGGCATCGCGCCCCGCTGGTCCATCAGTGCCACACCTGTGTCTGGTCACCGGAGCCCCCAGCTTTGAGTGGGGGTGCAGAGCCCCTCTGCCCAGCCACGTCCCCATGGTGGGACATGAACCGGCACCGCTCCCCCCTCCTAGGGGAAGCGCTGGCCCCGACGGGGTCGTGCGCACGAGGCCGCCATGTTATTGCACATCAGCCCAGCACGACTCGCCCACCCCCCGTGCCCCTGCAGGGAGCCAGCCCCGCACAGAGCCGGCTGCTGGGTCTGTGCCCAGCCTCTCGCTCCCTGCACGAGGTCCCCCTCCTCCCCGCTCACACTTGGCCAGCCAGGACCTGAGCCCAGGTTGTGCGTGGCCTTGACAATGGCTGACGGTCTCACCAACACGGCGAGCGGCCCTGAGGCGGCCCTAGGGGAGAAGTGGGGTCCCGGCCGGCAGGCCAGGTCCGGGGATTCCTGGGCTCCTTGCTCCGGGCCCTGCTCAGCGCAGGCCATGGGGGGAGCTGGAGCCGAGGCGGGGGGGCTCGCCCATCTGTCCATCGCCCATCTGCCCCCCACTAGGACTGCGCCTCCGGCAGCTTGAGGCTGGGCTCGGGCGGGCGCTTGGGGTGGTGGCCCCGGTCCTGGCAGAGGAGGCTCTTGGCCTCGCAGGTGAGGTGCTGGTAGCGGGGCGGGCTGGGCGCGGGCCGAGGGCAGACGGAGGCGAAGCTGAAGCTGAAGGGGCCCAGGCAGCAGCCGGGGCAGGCCAGCACCTCGTCCTGCTCCAGCCCGGCGCTGGAGGCATGCCGGGGCAGCGTGCTCGAGTGCTCCGTCCGCTCCAAGGCCGCCGCGCGGGGGATGCTGAGCTCCGAGCAGCCGCGCTCCAGGCCGCGGCCCCAGCCGTGCGGGGTGCTCACCACCACGCTGTTGTTGTTGAGGGGCAGGCCGTTGGGGGGCCCCGGCGGCCAGGGCTGGGCGCCCGACGCCGAGGTGCTGATGAAGGTGCCGTTGGTGAGCGGCGGGGCGGGCGCCGGCTCGGGCTCGGGGCTGTCGGGGCTGCAGTCCATCTGCTCCACCGCGGGGGGACTGGGAAGGGGCGAGCGCCCTGCCACCTCCCCCGTCGCCCCCCAGCTCTGAGCGGGGAAGGGGCTGTGAGGCTGGGGGCCCTCCCCACACGCCGGGGACTCCTGCCGCCGGCAGGCGCGGGCCAGCTCCCCCCACAGAGCCAGGCTCCCCCGGCGGGCCGGCTCGGGGGACGTGGGCAGCGAGCGGCTCTTGCCTGTCAGCACCAGGGGGGCGGAGAAGTCGCACTGCGCCTCCACCACGGGCTCGGGCGTGACGGGCGTGCCCAGCTGGTAGGGGGCGGGCGGCGGCAGGGCGAAGGACAGCGAGATGACCGACTTGCTGGGCGTGTCGAAGAGCTTGATCTTCCCGCCCTTCAGGTCCTCGCGCCGGGAGAAGGGGTTGAGGCGCAGCGGCATCTCCTTGGGGCGGGCGCCCGCGTCGGGCTCCTGAGGCGGCAGCAGGGCCGGGGACCTGGGGGGGAACATGTCCGAGCGGCTGCGGGCGAGGCGGGGGTCGGGCTGGAGGTGCGGCCAGCTCAGATCCCGCGGCGCTGGCTGCTTGGGGAGCGCGGGCTCGCTCGCTGCCTCGCCTGGCACAACACGGACAGCGGGTTAGCAGCCCCCCAGGCTGGGCCGGGCCCGCGGCCTCCAGCCCCTCCCGCCCGTTTGGAGAGTGCCTGGCTCCGTGCGCAGCCAGGGGCTCTGGGCCCCGGGCAGGAGAACCGCCTGGGCACCCTGCTGCCCGGCCGTCTGCCCCGCCACAGCAGGCCTGGGTCACGCCAGCCCCCTGCCCTCCCGCCCCGCACAGCAGGGGCTGGCATTTCCACCTGATCCCACCCCAGGGCTGTGGGGCCTCCCCATTAGTTCAGTGGGGTGAGAGACGGGTCCCCACGGGGGGGACAGCCAGCAAGCCGCCCGCGGACCCCTTTGCTGCAGCCCTGTCCAGCAAGCGCCCGGGGACAGGCTCAGCGTCCGCAGTGCCCAGCTCTGGCCACATGGGGGCAGCACATGCCCTAAGGTCCCTTCAGCACCCGTAGTGCCCAGCCCAGTGCCAAGGGCTGCTGGGGGTGCCCGGGGGGGTCAGCAGGCCCGGGGGAAGGGCAGTCACGGTACCGTTCGGCGTGGCCGGGGTCCCGGGCGAGGGCACGCTCTCCCCATCGCTCTGTGGGTCGGGGCCAGTGCCCCCCGCTCCCAGCTGGTGCTGCAGGATACCCTCCAGGCGCTGCGTGATCTCCACGAAGGCGGGTCGGGCCGTCGGCTCCATCTGGGTGCGGGAGTCGCCACATCACCGACGGCCACGGGCACCAACTCTCCCACCCGCCTGCCCGGCTTCACCGGGGCCCCGCCCCCGTGGGACTTGGGAGGGATTGCTGGGCAGGAGACGGGGGCAGCTTCCCTCCAGAGCAGGGGACAGCTTGCTTGTGCTGCCCCGTCCTGCATGCTGGGGGTGAGGGAGGGGAGAGCAGGCATGGATCCCAGTGGCTCTGTGGTGCCAGGATCCCAGTCCCATTCGGGGACAGGCTGGCAGGGGGGCAGGCCTTGGCACCAGGAATCTGAATTTCAGATGAGGGTCCCTGTTTGAGGCAATCACCCGGCTGCCTCGTCTCGGTGTCTGGGAGACGGGGGCAGGCCCAGGGACCCTGCCCAGGGGGAGGGAAGGGAAGAGAGGGACACGTACCCTGCAGCAGTGGAAGGCCAGCTGGAGGAAGGCCGCAGGGCAGTCGTCCCCCACCATGTTGCAGAAAGCGGCAACGTCCAGCCCAAAATCCTGCCCGGGGAGACGAGGGGAGGTCAGCAACTGAGCCCGAATCACGGGGTCCAGGGCAGGAGGCCTGCCCCCCTCCCCAGCGCCCCTCTGCATTGAGCTCCTGCCCCAGACGGCGCACCAGGGGGATCCCAGCCACAGGTCAGGAAGTGCCCCAAAGCCCTGCCCCGCACAGGAGCCGTCCCTGGACCCGGGGAGCAGGGCCCCGTGTCTCCGGGGGAGTGCGTGGCCTCCTGCGGTGCGTCTACACTGCACTAAAGGAGCCGTGGCACAGACGCAGCTGGCCCAGCTCAGCCGACAGGGGCTGCGGGGCGACGGGGAGGGTCCCAGCGCCCACGCTGCTGTCTAGCCCTGCAGCCCGAGCCAGCTGAGCCGGCTCTGGGGCGGCGCCGCGGGTTTCTCTTGCAGCGTAGAGGTGCCCGGGGGGATCGGGGCCTCGGGGCGCAGGGTCAAACCGGGACCAGGAGTACAACTCCCCTGCCACGAGGAAGGGTCGGGGGCAGCCAGTGTCTCCTGGGACGGTGCCGGAGATGGCTCAGCCCGACAGGTCACTGCAGGGGCTCGGCCTCCCTCCCAGCACCGGGGACCCGGGCCCAGGAATTGCTTGGCCTCGGCCTTGCCTCCCGCTGTAGCTGGAGGCAGCTCCAGCTCGTCCCCGGCTCCCCGGACAGGGACAATGGGCAGGCTGGTCTGTGCTCTAAACGCTGGGTCCAGTTATTAGCACGGAGCAGCACGTCCCCCTGTCACCCCACACGTACACCAGGGGCAACGCAGAGGGGAGCAGCATCTCCACCCCTGGGCAACACAGCCACAGCCCGGGCAATGGGCTGGCACCCCCAGGGTCCTTGGGGCAGGACACCCCAGCTAGAGAGACAGCGACCCTAGCATGAGGGCTGCCCAAGCATCCCCACTCAGCCCCTGCCTCAGTCACCCACAGCTCGCCGGCTTTGGAGCATGACCCAGCTGGGCGGTGGGGTCTGCACAGCTCTCGCGGCGTGTGGAAGAGCTCTCTTGGGGCTTGACACCCATCACCCTGGTATCTGAGCTGGGGCGTGGCCCATAGGGAGGAGACGCACGCCGCGTGCTGTTGCTGAGCGAGCTGGGAGCCTGCGGAACTCCCTGCCGCAGCGCAGTGTGACTGGCGGGATCACTGACCAGTGTGGGCCAGCTGCAGGGGCCTCCCCTCAGGCCATGCTCACAGCCCAGAGATGCTCAGCGTGCACAGCCCGGCTGGCCCCGCGAGGGGACAGGAGGGGGCTCCCCACGCAGCCCTGGCCAGCCAGGGGAGAGGGCGTCTCGGGGAGCAGGTCAGACTCTCAAGACAGGAAACGCCAGGGGGTGCCGGCCACGGTGCCTCTGCCCCGTTGGCGTTGTCTGAGGGGGTCCTGGCTGCCCGCAGAGAACACAAGAGCCTGGCCCCCAGGGGCTGCTCCCCGCACAGGCCCAGGTCACACGATCCCCTTGCACTGGCTCACAGCTAGGCAGCCCCATGGGCCGGGTGCCCCATGGGCCGGGTGCCCCAGGGAGCCTGGCACCTGTAGCTCAGCCCGTGGCAATGCTGCTGGCACATGGGGCAGAGTCATGGCTGCAGGGTTGTAGCGGGAGCCAGGCCGCATGCAGGCCTCTGCACCCCTGCCATGCGCCCCCCCGCCACGCTCCGCCTCGGCCCCCCGGCTCGCACCCAACCCCGGGGCAGGCCCTCGTCCCTCCCGGCACCAGGTGGCCCAGCCAAGCGTTACCTCGGTGCGGGGCAGGTAGTCCGGATCCGCGGGGACCCGCGCGATGGTCTCACACAGGATGATGCCGTAGGCAAAGACGTCAGCCTGCGGAGAGGAGCGGGAGGTGGAGGGTTTGGCAGAGGCGCTGAGGGGAACCCGACTGCCCTTCCGCTGGGCACGCATGAGCCAGGACATCCTCACGGCGCCAGCTGGGGCCACGGCCCCGCCGTACAGCACGGCACATCACGGCTTCCGCAGCCCCGGCCTCTCCCAGTGCGGCAGGGGGAGGGGGTGCTGGCTGTGGGGGCTCCTGGCTACTCCAGCCTGGCCTCTCCAGGCAGGGTGTGTGTCGGAGGTGTGGTGGGTTGGCCAGGGGAGTGACAGGTTCAGGATGCCCTCCAGGAAACGCTGGAAGGACAGTGTCAGTGACCACTGTGATGAAGCGGGACTGTTCTTAATGTTTCTTCTGAATAGTGTGGGGGTGCCTCAGTTTCCCCTAGGCAGTTCTTAAGTATCTAGGTGGTGGGATAAGGGGATGTAATTGTTGCAGAGCAAAGGGCCAGGGTACATAAATGGCCAACACTCTGTCTCCTAGGCCACTGATAGCCTGGGCCCGTCCCCCCTGCAAGGTGAGAGCTAAAGGGTTGGAGAACAAAGGAATCCGGTGACCTCCTGACCCAGGAAAGGGACAAAGCCCAGAGGAGGAGGGGCTGGAGAGAGTTTCAGTTTGGGGCTGGCTGGGACATGGAGTGAAGGGCAGACGGGGTTGTCTGGCTCACTGCCCCCCAAAATGGACCCAGCTGAGGAGTCCTGTTCTGTACGTACAAGCTCTGTGTTAGACCATGTTCCTGTCGTCTAATAAACCTTCTGTTTTACTGGCTGGCTGAGAGTCCCGTCTGACTGTGGAGTTGGGGGGCAGGACCCTCTGGCTTCCCCAGGAGCCCCACCTGGGCGGACTCGCTGTGGGAAGCGCACGGAGGGGCAGAGGATGCTGAATGCTCCGAGGTCAGACCCAGGAAGGTGGAAGCCGGGTGAGCTGTGTGTCCTGCAGACAGGCTGCTCCCAGAAAGGCGACTGCCCCAGAGTCCTGCCTGGCTTCATGGGGAGCAGTTCCAGAGCATCGCCCAGGGAATCTGTGACACCTACACAGCCCCCTCGCCCTGCCATCCCCCGGCACCCTCCATGTCCCACCACCCCCCATGCCCTCAGCACCCTGCCCCCACATTTCCCCCCCACCCTGCTGGCCCCCTCACTCTCCCCATGCCCTGCCGCCCCCAGCACCCCCCATGCTCCCCGCACCCTGCCAGCCCCCCCATGCCCTGCTGCCTCCCAGCACCTTCCCCCCCGCTGACCCCCAGGAGCCACCATCACACACTCATCCCCCCGCTCCACTGTGGCCCTGCTGGCTGCCAGGCCGGCACTGACCCTGGAAATGGCCGAGCCCAGGCATGGCAAAGGCAAGCAGCCCCCGGTCCCGCCAGCCTGGCCGTGCCCGGTGCCCAGCGCAGCGAGGGGAAGGCCCCAGGCGCAGGCAGCGAGTTACCTTCTCGTTGTACAGCTCCCCACGCAGCACCTCCGGGGCCATCCAGTACGGCGAGCCCACCACGGCCAGCGGCTCCTTCTGAGCGTCCTCGCTGGTGGGGCAGAGCCGCGGGGTTAGCCCCGGCCCCCGGCCCTGCCGGGCAACCCCGAGCCCCCACGGTCTCCTCCCCGACCCGGGGAACGCCCAGCTCCCCTGAGTCCCCTGCCCAGCCGGGGCAACCCCCAGTTCTCCCCCCGGGTCTCCTCCCCCAGCCGGGCAAGCCCCAGCCCCACCGGGTCGCTGCCCGCAGCCCCCCCGCCCCCGGGTCTCCTCCCCGGGGTCCCTGCTCACAGCCGGGGCAGCCCCCAGCACCCAGGTCCCCTCCCCAAGCCAGGCAACCCCCAGTCCCCCTGGGTCCCCGTCCCAAGCCAGGGTCAGCTTGCAGCGCTTCAAATCCCTTCCTCAAGCCCTCCCCATCCCCCCTCCAGCCAGGGGCAACCCACACCACCCAAACGACCCCCCGATTTCCCTCCCCCAGCTGGCTCTGATCCCCAGGAGGGGGTGGGTGCCGCCCTGCCTCGGGTGTGGGAAGGGTCCAGAGGGGACTGCTGGCCCCTCTGCCTAGGCCTGCCCCACTCCGGGGTGGGGGAGCTCCCCACGCACCTGTAGGTGGGAATCTTCTCTGCCAGGCCGAAGTCGCCCACCACGGCCGTGTAGCCATTGTCCTCGCTCTTCACCAGGCAGTTCTGAGAGCCAGAGGAGAGGAGACGTCACGCCGCCTGCCCCGCCTGGCACCTGCCCCATGACACACTGCCCCCTACAGGCAATCGAGAGGGTCGCGGGCAGGGGCATTCCCACCCTGCTGTCCCGGGGGAGGGCAGCGAGCATCCGAAGGAGCGCAGGGGGTCCAGCTCGGCCCTCTCTGCGTGTGTGATGAAGTTGGGGATGTTTGTAGCGTTCTACACGAATAGCGTGTGCGCGCCTCAGTTTCCCTGTGTGCTGCACGTTTAACAAGGTGGCGGGAGAGGGGTTGTTCTTGTAGAGGACCAGGTGTGACCTCACCAAGCAGCTGGGACCCCCAGACAACGGCCTGGAGATGGGGAACCCCAACAACTGCTGCCCTGGTGACTAAGAGGCCCACCCGCGCTTGGCAGTCGGCCGGTTCTGGCCAGTGGGAGGACACCGGGCTGCGGAGAGAGGACCCAGGAGACCTGACCAGCTGGTCCAGCCAGAAGGGAACAAAGGACAGATGAGAGCAGAGGAGACCAGGCAGCCTGTTTACCTGGGACTGAAGACAAAGGACAGGGGAGGAGCTGTTGGGGACGGTGATATCAGATGCCCAGCTGGAGGGGGGGTGTCTCTGGGCTGGGAGGGGAGAGCAGCCAGAGCCCCCTGGATGTGGGACGGCCCTAGATGTGCTGGGCTGAGGGAGGCCAGGCCTGAGGCCGGAGAGTTTCCTGTGCTGGGTTCAGACGTTCAATAAACCCTCCTGTGTTATGCTGGCTGAGAGTCGCTCTGGTCTAGAGATCAGGGGGATTATTCCCTCTGGCCGTGGAGGCCCCAGGGGCCCAGAGCGAGGGGACTCCCCGAGGGGGCCCATGGCAGAGACAGGCGGGCTAAGGCTCAGAGCGGTGCGGCTCCAGGAGGCAGAGGGGCTGGACCCCTGAGAGCAAGTGGACCCCCGCGAAGAGCAGTCGCACTGAGGGGGTCCCCCCAGGGACTGTACGGGGCCGGGACAACGTGCCCTTCACACCGTCCCGTCAGGGAAGCCCCCAGGCGGCAAAGCGAGGCTTGGGCTCAGCACCCTGCCAGCCCCGGCTCGTCCCGGGGCCCCCGCGGCTTCCACGGGGCCGGGCAATGGAGGGGCTGTTTCCTCCGGGACCCTGCGCCGTGGGCGAGCGAGTGAGGGCTCCGGGGGGCCGGGGAGTGCAGGGGAGGGGCTGGCAGCTGGGGGGGGGAGCGCGGGGGAGGGCACTGCCCACCTTGGAGGTGAGGTCGCGGTGGAAGATGCCCTTGGAGTGCAGGTAGCGCAGGCCGCAGGCGATGTCCAGGGCCAGCCGGATGCGCACGGCCCAGGAGAGCGGCACCGGGCTGTCCAGCAGCTGCTCCAGGTTCCCGCCGTTGATGTACTGCCAGGGAGAGGGGACGGGCAGCGTGCCGTCAGCCCCCCGCACCCCCACGGGCCCGTTCCCCTGCCTTGCCCTGCCCTGTCGCCTCCCCCAGCCACCCTGCCCTGCCCGCCTCCCCCATGGGGCCCGTCCCCCCGTCCTCCTGCCCTGCCCACCTCCCCACCGCCTCCCCCAGCCACCCTGCCCTGTCCGCCTCCCCCATGGGGCCCATCCCCCTCGTCCTCCTTCCCTGCCCTGCCCGCCTCCCCCATGGGGCCCGTTCCCCTGCCTTGCCCTGCCCTGTCGCCTCCCCCAGCCACCCTGCCCTGCCCGCCTCCCCCATGGGGCCCGTTCCCCCGCCTTGCCCTGCCCTGCCCGCCTCCCCCCAGCCACCCTGCCCTGTCCGCCTCTCCCATGGGGCCCATCCCCCTCGTCCTCCTGCCCTGCCCTGCCCGCCTCCCCCATGGGGCCCGTTCCCCTTGTGGCGAAGTGGGACTGTTCTTGGTGTTTCCTCTGAATGGTGTGGGGGTGCCTCAGTTTCCCCCGGGCAGTTCTTGGGTGTCTAGGGGGTGGAGTAAGGGTGTGTGATCATTGCAGAGCCCTAGAGGGCATGTGTGTGCAGGAGTCTGGACACAGAGAATGGCCGACACCCTGTTTCCTGGCAACTGATGGCCTGGGCCCTTCCCCCCCTGCAAGGTGAGAGCTGAAGGGTTGGAGAACAAAGGAATCAGGTGACCACCTGGCCCGGGAGGGGAACGAAGCCCAGAGGAGGAGGGGCTGGAGGGAGTTTCAGTTTGGGGCTGGCTGGGACATGGAGTGAAGTGCAGACGTGGTTGTCTGGCTCACTGCCCCCCAAAATGGACCCAGCTGAGGGATCCTGTTCTCTGCACCTGCAAGCTCTGTGTTAGACCATGTTCCTGTCGTCTAATAAACCTTCTGTTTTACTGGCTGGCTGAGAGTCACGTCTGACTGGGTTGGGGTGCAGGACCCTCTGGCTTCCCCAGGAGCCCCGCCTGAGCGGACTCGCTGGGGGAAGGCACGGAGGGGCAGAGGAGGCTGAATGCTCGAGGTCAGACCCAGGAAGGTGGAAGCTGTGTGAGTGTGTGTCTGAAGACAGGCTCTCACAGAAAGCGATCCCAGAGTCTGATCTTCATGGGAGCGTTCCAGACACCCCAGACCCTGACACCCCTGCCTTGCCCTGCCCTGTCGCCTCCCCCAGCCACCCTGCCCTGCCCGCCTCCCCCATGGGGCCCATCCCCCTCGTCCTCCTTCCCTGCCCTGCCCGCCTCCCCCATGGGGCCCGTTCCCCTGCCTTGCCCTGCCCTGTCGCCTCCCCCAGCCACCCTGCCCTGCCCGCCTCCCCCATGGGGCCCGTTCCCCTGCCTTCCCTGCCCTTCGCCTCCCCCAGCCACCCTGCCCTGTCCGCCTCCCCCCATGGGGCCCATCCCCCTCGTCCTCCTGCCCTGCCCTGCCCGCCTCCCCCATGGGGCCCTTCCCCTCCTTCCCTCCCTGTCGCCTCCCCCAGGCACCCTGCCCTGCCCGCCTCCCCCCATGGGGCCCATCCCCCTCGTCCTCCTGCCCTGCCCACCTCCCCCCCCCCCCCACCCTCCCTGCCCGCCTCCCCCATGGGGCCCATCCCCCTCGTCCTCCTTCCCTGCCCTGCCCGCCTCCCCCATGGGGCCCGTCCCCCGAACACAGAATCATAGACTATCAGGGTTGGAAGGGACCTCAGGAAGTATCTAGTCCAAGCCCCTGCTCAAAGCAGGACCAATCCCCAATTAAATCCGATCCTCCTGCCCTGCCCTGCCCGCCTCCCCCATGGGGCCCATCCCTCCAGCCACCCTGCCCTGCCTGCCTCCCCACCACCTCCCCCTGCCACCCTGCCCTGCCCACCTCCCCCATCGAGCCCATCCCCACTGCCACCCTGCCCTGCCCACCTCCTCCATGGAGCCCGTCCCATCTCCCATCTTGCCTTGCTTGCCTCTCCACCGCCTCCCCCTGCCACCCTGCCCTGCCCACCTCCCCCATGGGGCCCGTCCCACTCTCCATCTTGCCTTGCCCTGCCTGCCTCCCTGCCAGCTCAGTGCCCACCAGCCCCAGCCCATGTGCCCCTGCCAGGGCGGGCACAGCTTCATGGGCCCCTGTGCAGCACCCCTAGGACCCCCTGGGCGACCCCCTCTTACCTCCGTGAGCGCGTGCAGCTGCCCCTGGTGCACACAGACCCCCATGAACCTGAGACACAGAGGGGGACGGGTTAGACCAGCAGTGCCAGGGACATGCCCCCTGGACGGGCCAGAGCCGCTCGCAGAGAAGAGAGAGAATCCACGAGGCGGAGAAGGGACCGGCTCCCTCTGCCCAGCACATGCCAATCCGGGGCAGGGACCTCACCCCCCAGCCCGAGCTGGCTTCCCCTTGCCCTGGGCGGAGGCACACGGGCAGAGCCAAGGCCTCCACGAGGGCCACAGAGCCAGGCTCAGCAGCCAGGCCGGGCCAGGAGGGGCCACGCTCGGCTGGGAGCAGGGCTCGCAGAAGCCAGCTGCTCCTCTCCACAGAGCAGGGCAAGGGCCGCCCGGGTGGCAGGGGGCGACGGGGGGGTCACTGCGGGCCCCTCACCTGAGGATGTTGGGGTGCGAGAGGCGGTTCATGAGCTGCACCTCCCGCAGCATGTTCCCCCGGTTGCTCATCAGCTTGTTCATCTTCAGCACCATGATCTGGCCGGACTGGCGGTGCCGTACCTGGGGGGAGCGGAGAACGAGGAGTAATGGTCTCAAGTTGCAGTGGGGGAGGTCTAGGTTGGATAGTAGGAAACACTATTTTCACTGGGAGGGGGGTGAAGCACTGGAATGGGTTCCCTAGGGAGGTGGTGAAATCTCCTTCCTTTGAAGTTTTTAAGGTCAGGCTTGACAAAGCCCTGGCTGGGATGATTTAGTTGGGGATTGGTCCTGCTTTAAGCAGGGGGTTGCACTAGATGACCTCCTGAGGTCCCTTCCAACCCTGATCTTCTATAATTCTAGGGGTGGGACACAGCATGGCCTAGCGGGCAGAGCACAGGACTGGGAGCCAGGACGCCAAGTGCTGAGATGGACCTGCTGGGTCCCACCCTGCCAGGAGCCTCAGTTTCCCCATGTGAAGTGGAGAGGAAGGTCTGCAAGCACACTGCGGATGGCCGGCTCTGGGCACGTCAGCGCTGTTGTATTAACAAGGCCCCTTAGCAGAGGACTGAACGGCCCCTGGAGCCCAGCAAGGCTCTCGGGGGCGAGGGGAGGAGCCGGGAGCTCAGCACTCTGCAACTGACCAGAACCACTTTCCCAAAGCGCAGCGTCGGCCCCGAGCCTGCAGGCTCAGCACCAGGCCCTGGCGGACCCGGGAGCCCTGCCTGGGTGAGCAGCCGGCCGCAGGGAGCGGGGGCTCGGCGCCCAGCCCTGGCAGCTGTAGCAGGGCGGTATATTTAGCCTGCTCTGAGCGGAGGCCACCACGTGATCCGCGTTACTGGGGCTGCTCCAGGGAATCCCAGAGGGGCGGTGGCTGCCGGGGTCCGTCCTCCCAGCACACACGGAGCCCCCGTCTCTCGCACACAGACCCCGCCACACGCACACATGGCTGACATGCACGCACACGGAGCCCCCGCCACACGCACACACGGCTGACACGCCCCCACACTGCACGCACCACGGAGCCCCCGCCACACGCACACACCTGACACGCACACGGCTCCCTCGCCCTCGCACACAGACCCCGCCACACGCACACACGGCTGACACGCACGGACACGGAGCCCCCGCCACACGCACACACGGCTGACACGCACACGGAGCCCCCGTCTCTCGCACACAGACCCCGCCACACGCACACACGGCTGACACGCACGGACACGGAGCCCCCCCCACACGCACACACGGCTGACACGCACACGGAGCCCCCGTCTCTCGCACACAGACCCCGCCACACGCACACACGGCTGACACGCACGGACACGGAGCCCCTGCCACACGCACACACGGCTGACATGCGCACGCACACGGAGCCCCCGCCACACGCACACACGGCTGACACGGACACGGAGCCCCCATCTCTCGCACACAGACCCCGCCACACGCACACACGGCTGACACGCACGGACACGGAGCCCCCGCCACACGCACACACGGCTGACACGCACACGGAGCCCCCGTCTCTCGCACACAGACCCTGCCACACGCACACACGGCTGACACGCGCACGCACACGGAGCCCCGCCACACGCACACACGGCTGACACGCGCACGCACACGGAGCCCCCGTCTCTTGCACACAGACCCCGCCACACACACACACAGCTGACACGCACATGCACACACAGCGCCCCCACCGCACGCACACAGACCCCATCACACACACACACACACGGCTGACACACGCACGCACACGGAGCCCCCGCCACACGCACACACGGCTGACACGCACACGGAGCCCCCGTCTCTCGCACACAGACCCCATCACACACACACGGCTGACACACGCATGCACACGGAGCCCCCGCCACACGCACACACGGCTGACACACGCACGCACACACACGGAGCCCCCACAGGCTCAGAGTCTTCCCCGGGGGTTCCAATTCCCTAGGGGGGTCCCTGGGCTCTGGGGGTGCTGGGAAGAACCAGGGGCCTCGCCCCATTTCCGGAGAGCAGTGCAGAGCACCCCCCAGCCCAGCTGCCCACCGGGCGGGGCCCTGCGGTGGGGCCCAGCCGCTGAGGGAGGAGCCCCAGCCCCCAGGGAGCCGCAGCAGGCTCAGGCATTCCTCAGGGCTGCTGTCAGCTCCCCACGTTTGCCCTTTTTAGTCAATGCAGCTCTGAGTCGCTGTGGCTGTGCCAGGCCCCGGCCCGCCCCCAGCCAGGCCTGCCCCCCCCGTGAGGGGCTCCAGGCAGAGTCTGCCTCCCCCAGTCAGTACCGGCAGGGCGCGGGAGCTGTCTGGGGGGGCAGATGTAGACAGGCCCTGGGCAGTTCCCATGGCAGAGGCAGGAGGGGAGCAGGCCCCTCGCAGCACAAGGCTGTCCGCCTCCCTTGCTGTCCTGAGCAGTTGGGCGGTGTTGCTGTGCACTGTTAAGAGAGCTGCCAAGCCTGCCCCAGAGGTGGCTGCATGCCAGTGCTGGGCAGGGGTGCCCCACATACCGTGTGTGCAGCACTTTGGCTGAATGGGGCCAAGGAAATGATAGTTACACTGTGAACCTGCCTCCTTCTGCTGCCTGCCCCCTCCCTCAGCACAGGACCCAAGTGTGTCATCCTGTGGGGGGTGCCCCATCCCACAGGGACCTGCGCAGATGCCTGTGCCCCCCTCCTGCCCCCCAGTGCAGAGCGAGGCACGTGGTGATCCCGGCACAGCCTCCACCACGGGGCGAGAACCATGCGGGGACCGGATACTGCAGCTGGCAGGCCAGCCAAGGTTGGGGAGCGGGGGCCAGGGGGTTCTGGGGGGAGCCTGCCTCAAACCCAGCCCCTTCTCTGGGCTGGAGAGTGAGGGGTCACACAGAGCCCCCTGCCCCCACCGGGCACTCCCCCGCACACACAGCACACAGGAGATGTAGCCAGGAGGCGCCATGCTCGGCCTGGGGGCACTGTGCCCGGGCGTTGCCGTGCCTTGCCCAGGAGGCGCTGGGCCCAGCCAGACTAAGTGCCCTTTCCTTACAGACGTCCGTGGCCATGCTCGTGGTGCACGGGGCCTAGGGTAGACGCACCCTCCCCATGGTACCCTGTGCTCGTTCCCACGGCTTTGGGCGGTTGGGGGGGGCAGATTCAGGCTACAGCCAGAGCACCCCCCAGGCTGGCGCCCCGTGTCCCAAGGCCGGGTGTCTCCCCTGGGCCCCCAATGGCCTCGCCTGCTCCTGCCTCTCCATTCAGCCCTCCCCCAGGCCCTGCATTATTCAGCAGCCCCTCGGCCTGGGCGCTCGTGTTTCGCCGGCGTCGCCTTCCCAGCCAGCTCCCCGCACCTGTGCCACCGAGGGGCCCGGGCGCTAAGGGCAGCTCCCTGCTTAGCACCCACTCTCCTCCGGAGCCACCTGGCCCAAGAGCAGCGACCAGACAGAGACCCAGGCCTGGCCACTCCCAGGGGCACCCTGGGGCCACCCTGATACCCCCTCCCCAGCCAGAGTACCCGGGGCGATCGTGATCCCTGACCACCCCATCCCGCCCCCGCGCACCCCGGCTCCCCTGCCGGAAGCACCCGTCAAGCAGCGGGCGCTCTCTCCCCACCCAGCACTCCCTGCAGAGGGGCTCCCGCTCCCGCAGGGAGGGCACGAGCAGAGCTGCCCCGGCACACAAGCGCCAGCTAAGCCCATCGGCGCGAGAGGCAGGAGCAGGTTCTGCTGCTACCCCCCAGCAGAGGGCGCACAGGGCGTGGCAGCTCTCCCAGGCCCAGTCAGCACAGGGCCCCATTGTGCTGGGAGCTGCACGCACTCGCTCGCACAAACACGTATGTACACACGCACGCACGCGCCCTGGCCTGCTGTTCACAGCAGTGCGCTCTGGGGGAGTGCGGGCCCCTCCCCATCGGGCAGGGGACTGGGATGCACGCCCAGGTGCCAGGCCTGCGAGAGCCCAGCTCCCCAGCAGGGGATGTCCCAGCCCCCCTGCACCCCGCCAGGAGCAGCAAGGCCCCCGTCGTGCGCAGCCAGCCCAGGTCCCAGCAGGGGAGCGGGGGCTGTGCAGACGGGCCCAGGCGCCCCGATGCCCAGGGGACCCCAGCAGCCGGGGCAGGGAGCAGGACCCCACATGGGTCGGGAAGGGCCCAGGGACAAGTGGGCAGCCTCCTGCCATGGGGGAGGGGTGAGCTCCTTCGGCTCTGCTGGCTGGGAAGCCCCCGTCCTCATTCCCTCTAATAAGCCTCCTCCCATGGTAATTTGCCAGGACAGATGGAGACTAATGCGGCCTTATCCCCTTGTACAGGGGCAGGGAGGGGGAAGGGAGGCTCCCAAGTGCTGCAGGACTGGGGGAAGGTGAGGGCCAGCACATGGCAGGGCCCCCCAGGAGGAGCTGTCTGAAAAGGCGGGGGCAGACAAGACACTCCCCTTGCACTGCGGGCAGGTCCTCCGGGATCCCTGCATATCTCTGGGCCCTGCCCACCCAAGGCAGCAGGACAGAGCAGGGTAGGGTGACCAGATGTCCCGATTTTATAGGGACAGTCCCGATTTTGGGGTCTTTTTCTGATATAGGCTCCTATTACCCCCCACCCCCATCAGGATTTTTCACACTTGCTGTCTGGTCACCCTAGAGCAGGCGTGTGGGGCTATCTCCAAGGGGTCAGCTAGCTGGGCACAGACCCCTCCCTGGCCCAATTTCTTCCCATGGACCGGCCCAGTCCTGCCCCATCTCCTGCCAAGGACACTGCACCCCCCCCCCACTGCACCCCCCCCAAACCTTCCCAAACACTCCCCTCCACACCCTGGGGAACAGGCACAGAGAGATCCCAGCTCTGTGCCCCCCTGCCACTCCTCCCATGTCACTGGATCCTGTAACAGGATCCCACAGTGCGGGGGGAGGGGGGGGCAGGGCACACGGCTGCCATGCTCTGCTGGCCAGGAGCCAGCCTGGGTAGCACAGGCAGGCAGGAGAGCGCCCGAATTCCCACTGATTGGGCAGGGGGCTGCCATGGGACAGACAGAGCCTGCACCCCCCACCCCACTCCGCTGCCAGAGGGCTGGGCAAACCCAGCACCCCAGAGCCAAGGCACCCCCAGCTGGCTGAGAGCAGGTTCACCCTG